ATGGGCCCATCGGGCTATAAATAATTCACCTTTATGCTGCCAATCCAGGTCCACCTGAGCTACTTCAATCTTAGCAGCCTGATCCACCTGCTGGTTGTTTTGATGTTCTTCAGTAGCCCGATTCTTGGGCACATGAACATCTACGTGGTGTACTTTCACAGCCAGGTTCTCTACCCGAGCAGCAATATCTTGCCACAATGCAGCAGCCCAGATGGGTTTGCCCCTACGCTGCCAGTTGTTTTGCTTCCATTGCTGTAACCATCCCCACAGGGCATTTGGTACCATCCATGAATCGGTGTAGAGATAGAGAACTGGCCATTTTTCTCGTTCAGCAATGTCTAAAGCCAGCTGAATGGCTTTCACTTCTGCAAACTGACTCGATTCACCTTCTCCCTCAGCAGCTTCTGCAACTCGTTGCGTAGGACTCCATACAGCAGCCTTCCATCTCCGATGCTTCCCCACAATACGACAGGACCCATCAGTGAACAGGGCATATTTCTTTTCATTCTCCGGTAACTGGTTGTACAGCGGGGCTTCTTCAGCACGACCCACCTCCTCCTCTGATGATATCCCAAAGTATTTGCCTTCTGGCCAGTCCATGATCACTTCCAATATTCCTGGGCGACTGGGGTTTCCTATTCGAGCCCGCTGAGTAATCAGTGCAACCCACTTGCTCCATGTAGCATCAGTTGCATGATGCGTAGAGGGGACCCTTCCCTTGAACATCCAGCCTAGTACTGGCAATCAGGGTGCTAGGAGGAGCTGCGCTTCAGTACCGACCACCTCCGAAGCAGATCGAACTCCTTCATATGCTGCCAATATCTCCTTTTCAGTTGGAGTATAGCGGGCCTCAGATCCTCTGTATCCCCGACTCCAAAACCCCAGGGGCCGACCTCGAGTTTCCCCAGGTTCTTTCTGCCAGAGGCTCCAGGTGGGGCCATTCTCCCCGGCTGCAGTGTAGAGCACATTCTTTACATCTGGTCCTGTTCGAACTGGCCCAAGGGCTACTGCATGGACTATTTCCTGCTTGATTTGTTCAAAGGCTTGTCGTTGTTCAGGGCCCCATTCAAACTCATTCTTCTTACGGGTTACTTGGTAGAGCGGGTTTACAATCAGACTGTAATTTGGGATGTGCGTTCTCCAAAACCCCACAACACCTAGGAAAGTTTGTGTTTCTTTTTTGTTAGTTGGTGGAGACATAGCTGTTATTTTGTTGATCACATCCATTGGGATTTGATGACGTCCATCTTGCCATTTTATTCCTAAAAACTGGGAATAAAAAAAAAACTGAAACCAGGACAACTACTTCTAAAAAAAACTGGGACGTGGAATTTTCTTCATTTCCTTTACAAGTTCATTTACAGCTTTTCTTTCTGTTGTGGTTTAACCCAGCGGGCAGCTAAACAACACACAGCCACTCACTCACCTCCCCCCCTCCTTCTCTGGAATGGTAGAGAAAAATGGGAAAGAGAGGCCTGTGAGTTGAGATAAAAACAAGAAAATAATAATAATAATAACAATAATGATGATAATAGTACTACTAGTAATAATGTGTATGAAACAAGTGATGCACAATGCAATTGCTCACCACCTGCTGTCCGATGCCCAGCCTAACCCTGAGCAGTCCGGCCCTCCTCCCAGCTCTTGCACCCCCAGCCTGCTCGCTGGCAGGACAGAGTGAGAAGCAGAAACATCCTTGGCTTGGTGTAAGCACTGCTCTGTAACGATTAAAACATCAGCATATTATTAGCATTCTTCTCATCCTAAACCAGAACATAACATTCTACCAGCTACTAGGAAAAAACACCCTTATCATCAATCTTTAAACAGCAATTACTAAAGTTAAATTTTCCACAGACTTCTCCTTCTTGTGCTAGTAAATAATTCAAAGCTAGGTGATTTTGATACAAACCAGTTCTCATCTTGGTATCTTGCTTTGCAATTAATCCAAGTGCATCTCCGGTTTTATTTATAACAATCTGTTGCCTTCATTTAAATCAGCATGGAGGAAAAGCTTCCTTCATCTATGCTCCTTACTAGGATTCACTAGACCTCAGCAGTCTTTGTTCATATCCAGTCAGTTCTTGTTCTTGTTTGTTTTCTTGTTTATTGGATCTGCCACAATGTTAGCTGACCAATGAGATCATTATCAGGAGGATCAGAAATTATTGTGCCTTTTGAGGTTGTTACGTATTACTCACATAAAAAATGCTGAGGGAAGAGTCACAAACGTATACTGTGGCAGGGTTGGGGAAGCCATTGTGTTGGGAAGTTCGAGGCTGAAAGGCACTCTCAGCCAGACAGAGCACTGCTGTGTGGAGTGAAGTGGGTATCTCAAAGGTAAGTGCCCATGTTTTATCATGCACTTCATACTTGCAGAAAGTAAATTCACCATTTGCAGTAACAGTCATAATTAATTTCCAAGACTGGAAGTGCTGAAAATAAATAAAATACAAATAAAAGAAATGTGGTTATTTTTAATAACCACAACTTGTGAAGAACTTGCATCCTGTTCTATGAATGTCTAACTTGGGCAATATAAGGAAGAGTTTTAATTCTATATTTTGATATAATTTGTGGATGGAAAAAATGTCAGAACAAACTCATCACTGGTTTGTGCAGACTCCTCACTGAAGGAGTGACAGTCTGTGCATTTTAATTTCAAAATTCATAAAATTTGAACTAGAATCACTTTTTCATATTTAGTTTTGCAGCATTTCTTTGCTGTGGGATTTGAAAGCATTGTTTAGCACACATTTTCCTAAGGGAGTACATGTACTGGTAAAGGTGTGGAATTATTATGGATTTGTACAGTGGCAATCTTGCCTTTGCTACTTCAGTTTTATATCAACAGCAAATGTAGTCAACTCCTTTGCTTGCCCTTGTCTGAATCATTCATGCTGCAATCCGCAGTGCAGATCACATTGCTGGGCCCTGTAGTCCCACCATTGACCTTCCTCTTTTGCCAGAACTGACCATTTGTTTCCCATATTTGCTACCTGTTTTTAGCCAGTTACTTTTTCTCCATTGTTATGGCTCAGTTCCCTTAAAAAACTGGAAATCCAGGCGGATGTTATCAATCTGATTGTAATGTACTTGTTGATCCCTTCAAAGAACTAAGGATTTGCTTTTTACGAGCCATGTTGACTCTTCCGAGTAGTGCGTATTTATCCAGGCAGTCATTCTAGCATTTTTGTTGCTTCTGCTGATCTGCCTGTAGCAGATATTAGGCTTAAGGACTTGATGTCTTTTTCCCTCTCCCTGAAAGATGTGAACTGTTTTCTAAAGATTGTCATAATATTTTCCCTAGGAATCTCTCTGAATTCCTCTGCAGTGAACATTAATGCAAATACTGCAAAAGATGGCACTTCAAGGTCTCTGCTATTGCATGGTCTCTTTGAACAGTTCTTTAATATCTTTTATAGTGGATTCTACCACCTCTCTTCACTGGCTTTTTTTTTCCTGCTATCTGGAAGAAGGCTTAGATTCCTTTATCTTCTTACTATTAACCGTTTCTTTATTATTGTTATTGTGCCTGATTTTAATTTTTTTTCATATTTCATCTGCTACACCCTTTGAGCCTTCTGTCTTATTTGCTCAAAAACTACAGTTTTTTGAATGATATTTTCTGATAATCTGATTTATTTTCCTGTCAGTCATACTGATTTCCTGTGACTTTTCACAAATCTTTTCTAATAAATATCAGATTTGTGTTGCAATTCCATTATAATATCTTACAGGAAACTCTCAAATGACTGTAAGATATTTTTTTATTATTTGGTTGCCAGTTTAGTTGTATGGTGTCATTTTTTTTAAGTGATCATTTTCAATTTTCTTATCTTTACATAGGTCTTGTTTTTGAAGTCTAACACAGCCTTATCAGATTCCTTGTTCCTGTGGGGATGTTGCATAGAAATAAATCACAATCATTCCTACAGTAATATTTCGTAAGGAGACTTTTTGCTCCTCCCAGCACAATTCTCAATACCAATTCAACTTCCTCTAGTAAACTTGCTAGCCACCGTCTAAAGAAAGTCACCTGTGCTTTGCATCTCAATGTGGTGGCATCAGTGCAGTACACTTTGTGGATAACTGGAGTCACTGGATACAATTCTATTTTTTGACCATGTTGCTTCTTTCATTTCTTTGTGCCTTAAGACAAATTCCTGCTGTGAAATGAAAGTTGACATAAACTTTTGCTTTTGTTTTTTAAATACTACTGTGATGTTTAAACATATAATCAGCTACATGTTTTTGGTTGTATCAGACACTGTGCCTCTGCAAAAAGACTTTTTTTTTTTTTTAATTAAAATTTAATGTTCAAAAGTTGAAATGAGGTAAAAGTTTCCAAATAAAATAAATGGGTGTCAAATAGCAACATTTTTCTTCCAAATGGAAACAAATGGAGAAATGTATTATGCTAACTACTGTGTCTTTTGAAAACACTGCTTGGAATCTAATCAACATAACAGCCTACACAGTTTTGTGCTAATTGTGAGAAACATCTCAAGTAATTTTCTTCAGACAGGCTCTTCTGTGAAGCTATTTTATTCGCGATTGCAATGGCAGGCATCCTGTCAATCAGGAGTGCATCCCAGCAAACAAGTCATAACCTTTTATTCCCTATTACCTGATGCCTGATCACCTTCCCTGTTTCCTCATTGGCTGAGTACTACAGGTTCACAAGCTACTCAGTGCTCCTCTATACCATATATGTACAATTTTTCTTTTTTTTTTTTCAACCCTTTAATTTCTCCTTTCTTATGTTTTGAGAACTTCTGATCTTTTTTTTTTACTGTTCTCACACTGCACGTCCTGTTTTTTTCAAGCTTCTACCTTATTTGGGAACAGTGAGGCCTTCTATTGTCCACTTACCTACTTAGCATTTCTCCTTATTATGACTACACAGCTACCTTGGAATACAGAAAAACAATTCTCTACTGCAAAAACACAACTTTTTCTCAAAATTCCCCCTTCTTCTTTTCTTACTCCTATTGTTGTTTTTGCACCTCTTCACACACCGCTCTCTTGAGTTTTTCCAACATTAAGGTGCAATATTCTTCTTCAGATGTCACGGGATGATAGATATACAATGCCATTATTATTACAATACCAACAAATAGTTATTTGAGCCAATTCTATTCAGGTAATCACAAAATTAGTTTCTCCCAAATGTTTCTAGATCCCCAGGAAGTATCATTGTGAGCTACTCTATGTAGGATCTTGTTTGTTTGTTTTTTTTTCCCAAAATATTTTTGAGATCAGTCAAATTCATCCCATTTGATCTACATATATACAGCAACCAGTATTAATTACAGTGCATGCTCCTCCTTATGAGGTTATTAATAAATCTAATACTATTTGATTCTAGAGTACTATTTTTGCAAACTTAGCAAACTTATTTTCTAGTTCTTCAATATATGTACAATTGCTTTTTCTAATTCACTCACCCTTAACCAAAGTAAAAAACACCGTGCAAAATTGTAAAATGCTAGAGAATTTTACTAAAGGTTTATCTGGAGTCCACTTAATTCTGCGTGTGGTCTCAAGGGGTCTTTGGCTTTGTGGGTCTTCAATAATAGTTACATCTGGAATTATTGCCTCCAGGGCGCAAGCTCCCTTCCATCCTACGGGCAACACCTTCCTGGCTTTATTGCCACATAGCCAGTATCACTCCTTGCAATTCAGGACAGGCCATCCGGTTACAGGATTCTCGTGTTGTATCTGATGTGCAGTATGTATATTAGCATTCCCATGGCTACCATATTCAGTACAGTATGGATTATTCCCTACTTCATGGATATTTCCACACCCAGGGTCAGTACTATTGCCCCCTGAGTTTCTATCATTGTTTAAAAGGCACTTTTGATAACACAGTATTGTAGCCAGGATTATGTGTAGGGAACTCAACTTCAAAATATATTCCTTCCTGGGACTATGTTTGATCTGTCATTTTTAGAAATCTAGAGAATCCAGACACAGTTGCTGCTGGAAATAGCAATCAGGGACAAGGCCTCTTCAGTCTTTCTAGGGTGCAAATCCAACAATTATTTCGAGATAGAACTCTGCATTCATTAGAAATGCTGATTCTTCCCTCCATTGTATTACTAATCCATTGAGAATAGGTATTACTAAAATAAACTTAAAATACATAATTTCTTTCTATATATACACCCCTATAATAATTAAGAAAAACAATAAAAATCACAAACTAATGAGGATTCTTCTGGTGGGATTAAATAGACCCCTTTCTCCCACTTCCAGAGAGTGTTTCCTGCAAACACTCCAACCCCTTTTACTTATTAATTCATTAAGAATTCTTCTAAGGAGAAGTTAAAGGTTTACAACAGATAGCTTTAACAGTTTTAACCTTAAAAGTCTTTGTTAATGCAGTCTCTCTGGTATCAGGGTTAACTGATGCTTTTACCCAGGTACGAATCCATCATTTCTCAGCCTTTCTTACTGTCGTCTTGGTAGTCAGGAGCACTTGGAACAGTCCGTCCCACTCAGGTTGCAGTTTCAGTTCTCTCCATGTTTGCATCATATCCCAATCTCCTTCTTGGAATGGATGGATCAGGGCTTCCAAGAGTGAGGTTTGAGCTAACAGTCCACGGGTCCTGAGAGATGATAAAGAGGACAACAGCCCAAGTATAAAGTTCTTAAAAAAAAAGTATCTTTTGCCTCAAACTGAGGTAATTCATTCCCTTTGTCCATGTACAGCAATCCAAATAATATTTCATACGGTAAAACTCCCATTTCTTTTCTTGGTGCAGTTTGAATTTGGAGAAGTGCCAAAGGTAAGTACTTCTATGTACTGTAATTTATTTTCCAATACTTTCAAGCCCTGTTTTGCCAGAAAGTCAAATAGCCTGTTAGTGGCTTCCTTCTCAACTGTTTTCTCCTGTCCTGACAATAAAAGATCATCCACATATTGTAACAGTAACACCTCTTTTGGAGGTTGGAATTACTCCAAAAATTTGTTCTAGAACTTGCCCAAATAAATTGATGGCCCAGTAAACCCCTGAGGTAAAACTGTCCATCTGTATTGCTGCTTCCACCCCATTTCAGGGTCTTTCTAATCAAAAGCAAATATATCTTTGCTCTCAGGGTCTGAGAGCATCCCATTAATAATACCGTTATTCCAGCCTAACAATTTATTATTTGAATGCCCAATTTCATTATCAAATCCTTTCCCAACAAGTTAGTCCCTGCCTCAGGTGCATGCAATAATTGCCCAGTGATCACTCTATCCCTAGTCTCAGCTTGGTGTCCCCAAAAAGTGGCACTGTTATCCCAGTCCCTTCTACCCCCATCACGTTTAGGGTTTTATTAGTTAATTTGAGCCTTGATACTTTACAGGCCAGTAATGACCTAGCCATCTCAATGTATCGGGTTCACCTGGCAAGGTTCTGGGAGCAGGGGGGGCTGCAGGGGTAGCCCCTGTGAGAAGAATCCAGCAGCTGCCTTGCCTTAGATAAGGGACAGTTTCAGCCAGCTCCAAAGGGGCCCACTGCTGCTCAGAGCCAACCCATGAGCAATGCAGTTTAAATCTCTGAGAGCACACCCAAGAAAAGGAAAACAAAACAAAACAAAACAAAAACTGCTGCACAACAGCAGCTGGGAGAGTGAGGAGTGAGAAACCTCCCTGCAGACACCAAAGTCAGTGCAGAGGAGGGGGAGTGCAGTGCAGAGATGCTCCAGGTGCCGGAGCCAAAGCACCCCCCGCGGCCCACAGAGAGGCCCCTGGTGGGAAAGGCAGACCCCCACAGCTCACGGTGTAGCGCAGCAGAGCAGATTTCCACACTGCAGCCCATTTAGGAACAGCCCAGGAATGTCCCCGTGACAGAGCAGGGGGGAGAGTGACTGTGAAGGGGCAGTGGAAATGAAGCACCACGGACTGAGTGCAGCCCCCACGGACTGACTGCAGCTGCCGCTGCCTCCGGTGCAATGTTAGGATTATAAGGAGCATAACTTGTTTCCTCCTCCAAAAAAAGGAACTTTATTGTTTACATATAAATTTCAAGCCCGAATTTACATCAGACCCATATTTTGGCCAAAATACTGAACTTCCTTTTATTAGCTTTTTAGGCCGGACAGTTACACAATATCAAATCACTTTTAATTATATATGTATTTAAAACCATTTTCCCTATTTTTTATCTTGTTTTTCCAAATCCTTATCATTCTCTCCAAAGGGCTATCTTTAGGTACAATCCCGGGGTCTCCAACACCACTCTGCTGACTCTTGGAACCCTTAATCCCCATCTCTTCCTGATGTGCTGCTGTGGACTTTACCACCCACAGGGTACCACACACCTTCACCTAGGATTAGGACAGAGGTGGGGTGTACTGCCAAGCACCTCACTTCTCCGTGCTCGTTGTACCGTACACCTAAGGGCCCACCCCCCCCCCCCAAAACTCTCTTTCACTCCTCTCCTCTCTCTTTTGCTTCATCCCTCTTCAGCCAAGGGGACTTTGTTCATCCCCTCACAGGACCACTGAGCTTCGCAGATCAGGACTTCACATTTGCTTTGCACTAAAAGTGCGCCTCGTTCACACTCACATTCATTCACACCAGTCTCCCTGAACCCAACCCAAAGCAAGATGCGGTAGTTTCCCTTACCTCGGTCCATGCGTGGCTTCCCAGTCCAGGTTATCAGCAGTAATCCCAGTGCCTGTTCCTAATCTGGGCTGGACTATATGTGGGCTGTGTCTGTGTTTTGTTTTGTTTTGTTTTTTAGCATGCTTTGGAAAATTGCAAATACATGCCAGTTGCATACAAAATATTATCTATATGCTTTCAGATACAAAACAAATTAAGTTGTAATAACTTTCTGTTATGTTTTGCTTCTGATTTTTTTTTTTTTTTTTTCCAAATACTATGTCTGTTTCAAGGCCACATAGTTTTGTTGATATGCATGTGAATTCCTGGGGGAAGATTTCTTACACAATGAGTTGCACAACAGTACTGATAAACAACCACACAGCTGACATCTCAGAAGTAAATTTGCTATTTGTAGTACTAGTCTTTGACAGCCTTCTGCTAATCCAAAAATGGCTAATATTGCCTCTCAAAAATGTCCAAATGATTTGGTATATATGTTTCAGATGGAAGTGCTCTATTAATTTTGAAGGCAATAAAGACATATTTTAGATCTCTGAAAGCATAATAGTTTAAAACATTATGGTATTGAGATGGTGGAGGAAACATTAAAAGCTATAGTTACCAGGTTATAAATGAAAGTATTTATTCATTCTTTGCATTCACCAGCAAGTAAATCTTCATTTTACTGAAAGTGACTGTGGCTGTTTCTGTTGGGAAGCAGTAGACCCTCAGGCATTGGAAAAAGTACTCCCTATCTTGTCTGAAATTCTTCCAAAAAGGAGCTCTCTGGTGTCACCTCCTGGTGAACGGCTGGAGGAGCCAGTGAGCATCTCTGGGTTTCACTGTCCTTTTGTTGAATGTGCAAAGAATAAAATGGTACTGCTTCATTTGAGATAACAGATTACCATGATGTTTATTTTATTTAAAAAGAAGGTGTGGGGAGCTGGGGTCAGTCTCTTCTCACAGGTAACTAGTGATGGGACTAGAGGGAGTGGCATCAAGTTGTGCCAGGGCAGGTTCAGGTTGGAAATTAGGAGAAATTTCTTCTCAGAGCCATCAAGCACTGCAACAGGTCGCCCAGGGAGGTGGTGGAGTCACTGTCACTGGGGGTGTTTAAAGTCTTTTCCAACCTTATGATCCTACGATTTTAAGTCAGTAGGGAGTCCACGCAGTTCTGTCCATCAGAACTTCGCTCCCTGTTTTGCTGGTTTGAATATATGCCCTTTTTGGTGCTCACAAACCTCTGTGAGGAAGAGAGAACAATTGGCAACACAGTCTGTATCATGTAGTAGTTGCTGTGACAGATCAATGAACAGACCATGGCTTCTGTTTCAGCTGCCTTGTTCCAGGAAGATTACTTTTCTGTCTAGGGCCCCTAGATAACCTTCTGTTATGATTTCCCAGCTCTATTATAATATTGCATACAGTACAACCAACAGTTAGCAAACATCTGGTCAAACAGGGCTTTACAATCTACCTAATAACTGTAGGGAAAAGATAAAAATTTCAGCCCCACTAAATATTGAAAAACTACATTATATTTTACTTTTTTTTTTTTTTTTTTTTTTTTTTTTTTTTTTTTTTAAAAAAAGCAAACTGTCCTGGTTTCAGTTAGAACAGAATTAATTTTCTTCCTAGTAGCTGGTAGAATGCTGTGTTTTGGCTTAGGATGAGAAGAGTGCTGATAACACCCCGATGTTTTAATTGTTGCAGAGCAGTGCTTATACCAGCCAAGGACATCTCAGCCTTTTGCTCTGCCCTGCGAACGGGCAGGCTGGGGGTGCAGTAAGAGCTGGGAGGGGACAGACCCAGGACAGGTGACCCAAACTAGCCAAAGGGGTATTCCATACCATCTGACGTCATGCTAAACAATATATAGGGGTGGCTAGCCGGGGGGAGGGGGCCGGACTGCTTGGGGTTAGGCTGGGCATCGGTCAGCGGGTGGTGAGCAATTGCATTGTGCATCACTTGTTTGTACATATTATTAGTGGTAGAACTATTGTCATCATTGTATTATTATTATTATTATTATTATTATTATTATTATTATTATTAATTTTCCTGTCTTATTAACCTGTCTTTATCTCAACTCACGGGCTTCACTTTCCATTTCTCTCCCCTGTCCCAGAGAGGGATGGGGGAGGGTGAGCGAACGGCTGCGTGGTGTTTAGCTGCCGGCTGGGTTAAACCACGACACAAACAAACAAACAAAACAGAAATGAACTTACTGTGAAAGTTGTTTGCATTTTAAGGCCAGAGTGATCCCTTGCAATTCTAGCTATAAAATAAAACATAGGCCATCTGATTTAAAAAAGTGGTAAATTTAAACGGGAGAACGAAGCTGCTGCTGCCATTCATGTTTAGTAGCTTTGGTTGGGAGAGAAGTAAAGTGCACAGGTGTAGCTAGGACAACCTTTATTTACCCTTGTTCACTATACAATGTATCTTTAGTGTTGCAACACTTTGTCATTCCTGAAGGGAAAGGGGTGAAGTCTGCAGCCAAACTGATTATTCAGCACTGTCTACATCTGCAGCAGATGCTTCTCATTAATTCTATATTTGGATCATGACAGCTGTTTGGAAATAAGTGACTTTAAAGGAGAGAACTTCGAACATGAAATAACATTTACGAGCAGAGAGCGCATTGCTTCAAGATAAATTAATCTTATGTTTGTACATGTTACAACAGTGACAACTTACTTGTTATTCTCTCTTACCGCTTTTTCTACATTCAGACCCAAATATTTCTTGCTCACCGGTGTATTCAGACTGCTCAGACACTGGACTTTAATACTTTGTGTAAAACTTCTTTTGAAATGTCTCAATTTCCTGTCTTCCACAAAACATGTAAAATATTAAAAAAACAGTAACAGCGCAAAACCAAAAAAAAAAAAAAAAAGCAATAACTGACTTTAAACTAGAGTTTCATAATTTGGTTGGTAGTTTTATTAGCTTACCTCTCACCACTGAGATGCACTAGTCGCTAAACAGTGCATTACCAAAATATTTATTGAATTTCATACTTGATAGCAGTCTTAAAACTAGTGTCTCATATATGAGACTGAAAAAAATGATTCATTTCACAAGCAAATGCTAAGTCTGTCCTATAATTTTGCTCTATTTTTGACATATATTTTAGTATATCAGTAAACCTCAGTGATTTGCTTTCCAGAGTTCTGTCTTGTAAGTAGCCTGACTATAAGGCAAAACTGAAAAGCCGTGCAAGTGGTTGTATAAGCTGGTATTTTATTTGCTTTGCTCCGTAACGGTGATGATCACACACCCATCAACACACTGATATATTTTTTCTGAGGCATTAATATGACAGGTAAAATACCTTCTATTTTATCACTGTCCTTAGCCTGAGGCATTAAAACGCTTAATGATGTGAGTTCAAAGTTCTACATTTTTCATCTTAATAGCAACAATTCTGTTTTATTTTAGATGTACAAGTCCTCAGCTTCACTGTATCTTTATTCATGTTCAAGATGGGTTTGAAGCATCTTTAAATCCTTGGTTGAGTTCTGCTTCTTTTTGCAGCAAAGGTTGCACAACCTGTGGAAGTTTCCGAAAGGTTGAGAAGTGCTCTTCTCTCTCTCAGTAAATCACAATGTTACAGGAACTGGTCAGAGAAACTTCTTTAGAACTCTGAATTTAAGAAAGCCCAATTAAAGAAAGCTGGACATTAGTCATGTATGTTAACACATCAGATGAAAGCCAGTACATCAACAGTCAGAGCTTCTGTCCACTTGTTTCTCAATTGTCTGGCCTTGTGACAGTTAGGATGCACGGCTGGCTCCTTGATGCAGAAGACTGTAAAATGTTTGATGCTGTGAAGGTGCATAACCCCATCTAGGAGTTGAAAATATCTTGGCAACTGCTTTTGCACTTTCACCAATTGTTCAAGACTAAAAACATTTGAAAGTGTTTTTTTCATTGCTGTATGAATTATGCACCTGTATTTCAAATAAATATGTTGTAAAATTTTTACCACAATGAAATATGTGAAAGGATTAAGGAAGACAGAATTAACTAAATTGAAAAACCTGACCTGCTTTACAAATATATTGTAACTAAGTGATGCCTTCTACAGAAAAATGTATAATATGCTTAAAGACTGTTTAAAATAAATATTTCTATTCAGTTGTTCTGCTTGGAATTAAATGAATTACATGAATCATTTGCCTTTAAATATAATCAAAAAACTATTTGTAGCAGCACTGCACTAAAAATAATATTGGATGCTAGATTTCACTAGTATTAAAAACTGATTAAGGCCACTTGTAACTTCATGCCAGAAACTATCACAGGACTAGCTATAGAGGTGGACGGCAGCTGTCCCTCTCAGCAACAACCAGTCGATAACCTGGTTTATACCATTTGCATGACAGTGAGCAATCTTAATCTAGTTTTGCTAGGCAATGAAGGAAAAACTTCCCTTTGAATACTATGATTTCAATTTCTCTCTCTCTTTTTGCTCAATTATTTATGGGAAAAATGATTTTCTGAGAAAAATGATTTTTCAGGGATTTGGACATCGTAGGGAAAGGAGTCAAATATATAGCAAAGTTCCAAGTTTGAATTACACTACTTTTCCCACAATTGATACCGCTGGCTTTAACTAAGTCACAATATAGTTTTATGTGTATAGACTCTGTACTACAGGAGTGAAGACTGTCAGTCTAAGACCGCCAAAGTCTTAGTCCACAATTTCAATTATCTTTGCAGAGCCTGCTACTACAACTTTTGGCTTTAATGTGGTACCACAAGAAAACCAGAAAAAGGCCACATTCCAAAATGTTACCGTCCTATTTGAACAATTCATCCAACAGGAAGACTTCTATGGAAGTCGAAAAATAAACAAACAACATGCCTAAATTAAGTTTGAAAAGTAGAACTTTATTAACAAGCACGTGAAAAAGAAAAAACAACAAGCCTTTCTGAATTCAGCTGCCATACTCAGACCCGTAAAATAAGGTATCTTTAAATATGGCAGTCTATCTTTTTCAGGTCATTGCCACCAGTAGCCACTGTAACATAAATTGTTGCCATAAACTGAAAATACTGTAATTGCTAGTTCATGTGTTGTCAGTCAGGTAAAAAGTCAAAAGAATACAAGAGTAACTAAAATAAAGGATAAATTAAATCTACCAAGTGTTTTTTTTTTTCAATTCATATTAGACTTAAAATTGTGTTTCAAGAACGTAAAAAAAAAAAAAAAGCCAGAACACTTCATTGCTGCAGTGCTTTCTAAATGCATTTGCCTGGATGTCTTTATGACAACGCACATACAGCTACTAGCTTCAAGTAATTTGTCTACTTGTTACCAGGGGCAGCTCACTGTCAAGAAACCATTCAGATTAATTGTCTTGATAACATTCTGATCTTCGCCATCAACCAACGCACAAAGTGATACCACACCTCTGTCAGAAACGTTTGTACCTGGCTTTAAAAAAAATAAACAAGCAAGAATTAGTACAAGACTTTAAAAAAAAAAAAAAACAAAAAACCAACAAGCAAACAAGTACTCATTAGCACTGAAATGCAATGCTTGTCACAGAAAATAAGAAAAACAAGTTCCCATAAGAACAGTTTTTTCTATGAAGAAGTGGAGAGTTCTAAACAAATGATTCCAAATAAAAGCAAGGCACTGAAGTATTGAAAAGGGAATAGTTCAGCAACGTAAACTTGAAATGCCGATCTTGTCCAGAAAACAAATTAGAGCTACATATCCCGCTATATCATGTGTATAAAGAAGCAGTTGCTTTTGAAAATGCATACAATAACTGTGAAAATTGTATTTTAGTTAACAACCTTTTACCTTCAAAATAACCCTCAAGCAGATAGAGTAACTCTTAAAAGTTGTGTTAATTAAAAAATTAAAGAAAAAAATATTTAGAGTTTTAATCATGACATAAATGGCGAGAAAGGTATGAGTGGTAGTTAAAACCTCTCATCACAGCAATAAAATACTTTCCTTCACTCTAGCTAAGAAAATAATATTCCACTGCTGCTAGGCAAAGAAGGAATTAATTATGGCAGAGAAGATCTCTGTAGAGAGCCATGACAGCAGGTGGAAGTCCTGAAGCATTAAGTTTTTGCATGGAATTCAAAACTTTCCAAGAGCTAGACAAATTTGTCAGGCAACTGTGTATCTCAATTTAGCATAAAATTACAACACTTACAACTGTTCAAATCAGTGATGGATATTTAGTTATTTTGTATAGGATTCTCTCTCCAGGGCTGCTTCCATTCGACTCTGTTTTAAACCCTACAGGACACAATGTCGTTAGAGCTTTAACTTTCTTGTAAAAACAAGATATTGTCACAAAATAAAGATATTTACAGACAACTTTTTTTTTTTTTTTAATTCCTTAACAAATCAAGAGATCAGACATCGAGCATTAAACAGGACAGAAATTAAACTACCTGTCCCCATTACAAATAGTATTTTTATGGAATGATTAAGATCTCTATTTCTTGACCAATGAAAATCATATTAAAAAAAATCACTTATATAATCTGAAGCAAGATATACTAAAGTTAGTCCTTCAAGGAGGACCTAGAACTAAAACAACACCAACCATACAAACATCCAGGCTCATGTGACCCCTACTCAAGGACATGAATATGCATATAATCCAAAATACTTTTAAATCTAACTATTATAATTTACAGCAGCAGCAACACACACAAACAAAAGCAGGATTACAAAGATACTTCCAGACAGAAATTGCACATACCAGGTAATAGCCAGTGTGATAACCACTCATGTACCAGGCTATCAACATGCTTCCCAATGCTTCATCATCCTCAGGAGAATCTGGCCCCATAGGTGGTGGAGGAGGAATCAGCTAAGAAAACACCAAGGAAATGTAAGTTGTTTGTTTCAGTGGAGTACAGGCCATGTTAGATAGCAACCAATTCTAAATGACCAAAATATAAAACTGAAAACAAGGAACATATCCTCAATGCACTCCCTGGAAAGGAGTCAAGCAAAACAATCTTTTCTAAAAACATTTGGTTTCCAAAGCCTGGAGGAGCAGGGTTCCTGTAGTTTGACTGTTCAAACAAACTTTCATTAGAACAAGAAAATACTTATTGGTATCAGTGAATGCTGTTAGTCAAATGTAAGGTAATAAGTGGAGACCAGGCCCCCTGTGCTAGATCTCTGCAATATTTGCAATTGAATGGGTTGTCAAATATTTAGAAAATACGGAGTCTAACTCAGAAATATGTCCTAAAAACAAGTGTTGTGGTTTAACCCGGCTGGCAGCTAAACACCACACAGCCGTTCGCTCACACTCCCCCCTCCCTCTCTGCGACTAGGGACAGAAATGGGAAAGTGAAGCCTGTGAGTTGAGATAAAGACAGCTTATTAAGACAGAAAAAAATAACATAAACGATGATAATAGTACTAAGAATAATAATGTGTACAAAACGAGTGATGCACAATGTAATTGCTCACCACCCGCAGATCGATGCCCAGCCTAACCCCAAGCAGTCCGGCCCTCCTCCCACCTGCTAGCCACCCCTATATATTGTTCAGCATGACCCCATATGGTTTGGAATACCCCTTTGGCTAGTTTGGGTCACCTGTCCTGGGTCTGTCCCCTCCCAGCTCTTGCTGCACCCCCAGCCTGCCCGTTGGCAGGACAGAGCAAGAAGCTGAGACGTCCTTGGCTTAGGATAAGCACTGCTCTGCAACAATTAAAACATCGGGGTGTTATCAGCACTTTTCTCATCCTAAGCCAAAACATAGCATTCTACCAGCTACTAGGAAGAAAATTAACTCTGTCCTAACTGAAACCAGGACACCAGGTGATCAGCACACTCGGAAAAAATGTGATCACCAATACTCATCTCTGACACTTTTTACTCTTACTTACCGGTGGTCCTGCTGGAAAGGGTGGAGGCCAGCAAGATAAGAATGGCGGAGGTGTTCTGAGTTTTGATCCAGACTATATTGAAGTAATTGAACAACGAAAGTTAAGAAAAAAAATTAAGACATTAGATTTTATTAAACACAAGAATCTGAAGCAATGCACAAACCTTAAGCTAAAGACAGCCCATCCAAACAATTTAGTGAAACTGAATTAAGAACATGGGACGGCTATTTCTGGGGAGCATTCCATGACTAGAACAGTAGAACTTGTATTAAATACGCCCTGAGGTAACCACTGCTGAAACAAGGTTCTATTTAACACAAGCTTTCAAAAAAGTCTTTTTAAACAGAAGTCTACACAGAAGGCATCTGAATTTTTACATGAAGAATATATGATACTTCCCACAAACATACAGATAATTTCTCTGTTCATTGAGGGTCCCTTCCAATTCGGGTTATTCTATGATTCCGTGACTATATGACAAATATTATACTATTGTCTCAGAATTTAGCGAGCAGGCTTAACAGTGGTATAGGAATTACTGCAGATAAGACTAAGCTTACCCTTCCCAGGCTGGGGGCTGCTGGTGGTATGGGAAAACGGAAGTTCTGGGGAGAGAATCTTGCCTTTGTGCAGTTGTTTTTGTTTTGAGGTGACTGGAAAGATTTTTCACTTTCATCTGTTGAATATGGAGTCTCGTTTTCATTCTGGAAAACCAAAACATTTTTATAAGATGCACTAAACATGAGTTTGCAAAACGCAATTTCAGCGTGAAAAAGTGTGGACAGCCCTCTTTCTTCCCTTCCCAATCCTACTGAGGAGATATCTCATAACCCTACCTGTTCATCACGCTAGCTAGGTTTACTTTTACTCATAAATTTCTCGTCTCCCACGCTGACTTCCAGAAGTAAGGGGATGCTTCTGCCGCCTGCATCAGTTTGTGTTCCTTCACAATGCAATTGGGTTTCCAGTCTCACATAACCCGTCTGGTCACAGCAGCGGTGCCAGAAATGCTGGAAAGCACCCCTTGCCTCCCCAGAATCCCCCATCTTACTGTTTCGTCGTTGGCTGGAAGGAGTAGATCGGACAGGTTCTGCTCCTCCTTGTTCCCGTATCCGTCGTAGGTAACGACACACGTGCCCCTCTTCTGGTTTATGGAGACGATCGTTGCCAGGTACACGTTGCCGTCCTCGGACCAAACCGCGTTACAGCTGTCACCAACCTTCCACTGCAGCAGGAGGGAGAGAGGCAGGTAACCAAGTACAGCAGCGACTGACGAGGAAGAAGCCTTTTTCCGCCCCGCTTTTTGTCCCAACCACTGTACCGGGTGGCGGTACGCGAGCTCTGCGGCGCTCTCGCCGCCCTCCCCCCGCGGAGCGCTACTTTTGAGGTAAAAGCAGCCCGTTTTGGGGCCCCGCGTCACCTGCACCGCGCTGCCCTTCTTTCTGTTCCTGTTCTTCTTGTTGTTCTTCCTCTTCATCCCCGGCCGCTGCTCCTGCCTGTCGGCGGGCTCGGCGCACTCCCCATTCCTCAGGGCGTTCTTGGGGCACAGGCAGGGCGCGGCCGTGAGCACCGGCCCCGAGCCGCGCCCCGGGAGGGGGGGGGTGAAGAGGGGGTCCCCCCGCGCCGCCCCTCACCTTGAAGGAGGCCACCGCCTTGTCGTACGCCTTGATGAGGGCCGTGTCGTCCCACACGTCCGAGTCGTCGCTCTGCGGAGGCCACGCAGCGCCTTACAGCCGCCGCCATCGCCTCACCCCCCCACCCTCCCCCGCCCCGCTCCCTCAGCGTCCCCCCCCCCGCCGCCGCCCACCTGCCCGGTGCCGCGCCGGAACAGCACGCGCTCCGACATGGCCGCCCCGCCGCACCGGCACGGCGCGAACTGCGCACGCGCCGCGGGGAGCTCCCGGGAGCGGCGAGGCCACGCCCCCAAGCCCACGGCCCTCCCGAGTCCACGCCCCCGCTGCTGACCCGGGCCAGGCGGGTGCCATGCAAGGTTTCTTTTTATTGTAAAAATAGTTAAATAGGGGAGAACGCGCGGCTACAGGCGTGTTGCACCGCGAGCCCAACGCAGCTTCTGGGAAAGGCGAGAAAGAAAACCTGGTCTAAGTGCAGGCGTACAGACTCGTCCCCGGAACCGTTCCGTGGAAGAGACAGACACGGCGCAAGCCGGAGCACGGCGAGCGCCCGGTACTACCAGTGCTACACATGCAGAGCAGTCGGCTTGGAAACAGCATTCCAGACAACTACACCTACGCTAACCAGAGGACAAACTAACGCTAGCTGAACAAGGCTGCAAGATTAACACTGAAATCATTTAATGGCTGGCCATTTTCACAAATGATCCTCTAGGCCTTTCTGCTGCAGCGGTGCACTCCTGTCTACTCTGCAGGGATGCTTCATTTTGCTTCTGCCTGCAGAGACTTCCTTTCGTTAGCCGCCTTCTGTTTCTGCTGCATGATTTCAGAGTCCCTGTGAAGAAAAAAAACATTGCATTTCAGATAACAGCTTGCTCCTTTTCTAAACAGTCTCCTCCGGCTTTTCCACAGCCCTTTACATAAACCCCGTTTTGATAACGGGAAAATACTAGAATAAAACATCTCAGCCATTATCATGCCGGTCCTTTCATCAAGGTACGCCATGATTTAGAAAAGCTGCTTGATTAATGGATTGTATCTAATTCTGAGTTTTAGAAATATAGGGTGCAATGAAACAAGCATCTTCAAGAAAGTGTTATACCGCTGTTAGCATCATGCAAAAAGTTGCTAAAAAGAAATAAAAGCCTTTCCAGGTCTTGGAAGAAAAAAAAATGTTCAACAGCAGACCCAGCAAAACCTACATCCAGGGTTTACACTTTGGCACTTGAGTTGAGCAAAATACTTAAATCTGCTTGTTTAAGGTAAGACACTGGATTTTTCTGATTCCTCTCATTTTGCCCAACCACTTGGGCAAAAGCACAGTGCTAGATTTCTCACCTCTGTTTTCTCTGAGAAGCAGACAAGCTATCTTCTTTCCTTTTCCCTTTGTGGATTTCCTGAGTCTTCTTCAGGTTCTTTTGGCGAGCAAGTTCACGTTGGTTCCCACCTAGAAGATACCGTACAGTTTATATAGGTCCTACCACTTTCCACATGCATTTTGTGTGTGTAGGAGTTGATTACAAAGGTGGTAACGTTTGGCTCTGCCTGTTGGCAGTGGCAGTATCTTCTGTCATGGTCTCCCTGCCAGGTGCACCGTGAGAGGCAAGACAGCCTATTACTTCTCACGCTTACATTCCTACAGGTCATGCTCAAAGGATCACCAAAATCCATCTCAACATTCCTTGCAAAATGTGCCATTTTTCCAGGTGAACAATGCAGTTTCCTCCAAAAGACTGAAGGCAGACCATCCCATCAATGACCTGGGCAAAACAATGACAGCTACTCTTCCAAAGAGGAGCCATCCTCCAGGAGCCTTGAACATGATTCCAGCATCCAACAGAGCGTACAAATTAACTTTACACTGGAATTACATCATTAAAATTAAGGCAGTCTGAGAGAGCTTATAAAACTTCCTCAAACTCTGCCCAAGGCCTTCTTAAGAAATCAAAAAGCACATACATATTTGGAATCCAGACGTGTCTATCTGCTTTCAGTCTGTCATGCTGTCGTGCAAAATCACTGATGTTGGATCACATCCCATGGTCAAGCAGCCGAACCTTTTAAACCTTGCTCATACTTACTAAATAGCAGCTGGGAGCCTTGCACCCATGTGTAGAAGAACACACTTCCGCTGATGCCACTTAGAGGATGACCAGTATGGGTAAGACAATGTCAGATCTGAGAACTTTGACCTTATATTCTATTAAAGTCCCCCAAACCACTTAACGTGGGATTAATAATGCACACATACCTCAGAAACTCAGTTAGGACTATGAATTACTAAGAGTTGCCTTCCTCTAGCACTATGAAAGCAGAGAAGACCACTTAGTATACAAGCAGCTGTATGGATGTTTAATTCTTTTTTGCTACTCAGTACTAAGGCAGCCAAAGAGCTCCAGCCCAAGGTTTAGTTTACAGACCATGCAACACAGAGCACCCTGTGAAAGAAAGGGGTTCACAAAGCTGAATACCTACTCAGAACTACAGGTCCTCATCAAGACTCCTTGCTTCCTCCTCACCACCAGCATTAATGAGATCCTGTCCCTGAAGTTCTGCCATGTAGAACTGTTAGTAGTAGAGTTGATTAGAACTTGATGACTCACGAGCAGATGATACTTTCCATGCTATAAATGGCCCTTGGATTTTGTAGGGCTCAAGGAAGAGGTACGAGTATCATGCAAGCAGGTTAGCAGCTATCAGACAGGTCTTCTGTGGTGCTTAAACTAAGTGTAGTCTTTTACCATGACAAAAAAGGAGGTGAGAAGCCAAAACACACTGCTATAGACAAAATTTATACAGCAGTCATCCTCCACCCTTAACCTTATACCTTTCTTTCCTCTCCAGGCAAATATTGTGCAGGGTGTCCACAGAACACATGTAAGACTGAAAGCTCAAGAAGCAAGTTGAATGGCACCAATGAAAACCTTGGCTGCTATTTCTGCAAAGCAAAGGAGAGCAGAGGGGAAGGAACAGCAGTATAGTATGCACACAGAGCATACAAACCCAAACTATTATTTGAAAAGAAGTATTCCTTTATCATCTCTATTTCCAAGAAAATATTGCAAAAGGACTGTTTGGCCCCAGCACTTTACCTGAGATGCTGAGTGAGAATCCCTAGCTCCACAGGAGATGGTCCTGTTTGCTACATTCCATAATATAAAACTAAATCTTCCATTAAATGTGGTCCTAACAAGATGCCAATTCCACTTTCTGTAATGTGAAATTCAGGCATTAACAGCTACTTAAAGGCCAGTACATACTTCCTGCTTATACCTGTGCTCTGGCACCCCAGTCCGGGCCTGCCTCTGCAAGACATACAGCCTTGCTTCTGCCTGTCCCTCCTCTCCCATCTCCAAGATCCATCTGTCCTTGAAGAGAAAGACAAGCAGAAGGCCTCTGTACAGTATTGAAACAAGCAGCAATTGTCTTTACTGGAAGGAGGTCAAAGAGAACGGCTGTAAGGGTTGACTACTAAGGTCATGATCCCTGGACTACATTCTGAGTAGCAAAGGATCTAATCACAGTCAGAACTTCCAGCTGAATAGAACTGTCTGCAACCACATTCCCAAAATAGAACACTAAAGTAAACAGTGGAAGACAAGTGCCAAAAAAAAGTTCTCCAATTCATCTAGCAATGAACATCTTCACAAATCTATTTTGGTTCCAGGTATTTGCACTGCTTCAATCTCACAGTGCAACAATTACCGTGAATTTATGAATTCAGAGGCACAATTGCTAATAAACAATATAATCTTATTCTGTTTTACCATGTGACTACTTGAAGTCAGAAGGAGACCCACGTGATCAATACCAAAGCCCTGAACTGTAAACATATCCCACAGCAAAGGCCGAACAGCAGAGTGGCATACCACAACTGCTACACCTCTAGCATTTCAGTACTGTATTAAAGTAGGTCACAGAACAAAATGCAACCGCTCTGTTATAATTAGTTGTGGGACACTGTACCTCTCCTCAAAACTTAAGCCGTAGTTATCCTAGTATCACAAGAACAGGAAAAAAAAACATCAAAAGCCATCAACCTGCTTCTTCAAATTCAAGGTCTGATCTGCACATAGACCGTTTATGATGTAGTCCTTTGTGCTTCCAGCAGCACAGCGTATAATATAGTGTATGTGAGGGCGTGTTTTCTGTTTTTTTTATGAAGTCCAAACTTAAAAACACCTCCTTAATTAACCACGGGCAGTTTCAGTGCTGCCAAGCGTCCTGTGCAGCAGACAGAAGAGCCGCAGCACCTACCAGGTTAAGTGGGGCTATTCTAGGCTCCGCTATTTTAGAGCAGATCTATCCACGTTAGTTTTGAACAGCACGCTAACGCCAAAAAAAAAAAAAAAAAAAAAAACGACGTGCTATTAACTATTTGCAACCACGCAGAAACCTTTTTTTTTTTTTTTTTTTTTTTTTTTACAGCCTGGCCAACAGCCAGGCCCGAATCCCACCGTTCCTTCCCTGCTCCCTCCTCCCCCCCTCACGGCCGCTCCGTGAGGGCCGCCCCCGGCTCCCCGAGGCCACCCCGGGCCCCGCACAACCCCCGGGCCGCCCGCGGCTCCCCGCTCCGCCTTTCCCCGGGGTGCATCCCGAATCCCCGCTCCGTGACGGGTCCCCTCCTCACTCACGGGTCATGGCGGAACGCTGTGGCCGCGCACCGCCGCCCCCCAACCTCCCTCACCGGCTGCTAGAAGCTTCTAACGGCCCGCCCGCCGCGCGCTCCCCTTATAAAGCCTCGCCCGCCGCTACGTCACGCGCCGCGCGCGGGGAGGGGGCGTGGCCCACGGTGGCGGCGGCAGCAGCGCGCGCCGATGACGCGCGCGGCGGCGGCGCCGGTGGAGGAGCGGCAGCAGCAGGAGGCGGCGGCGGCCATGCCGTGAGCGCGCGGGGCTCGCGCCGCCCGCGGGCCGTTAACGCCGCCTCAGCGCCGCCGCCGCCATGTTCCGCCGGTCCCGGCTGAGCGTGCGGCCCAACGTGCGGCCCGCCGGCAGGGAGACACAGGGAGCGCCCGCAGCCGCTGGGGCTGAGCCGCAGCCGCCGCCGCCGCCTCCAGCCGGGAGCCGTGACGAGGGGTGAGTGCCGAGTGGGGTGGGCGGCGTTGTGGTGGTGTCCCCTCGCGGCTTTCTCGGTGTTTTAGGGGCTTTTTGTGGGTTGTCCTTCGGAGCGGCCTCGCCGCTGCCTCTAGCTGGCTGTACGTGCGCCAGTACCGGCGGTTTTTTTTTTTGTTTTTTTTTTTTCCTTAAAATGTCCTTCGTGGCGTTGCACGCGGTCGCAGAATCGCAAAATAATTTCTAGGTTGGAAGAGAGCTCGGGATCACCGAGTCCAACCTCTGACCTGACACCAACAGGCCTCCACTAAACCATATCGCTAAGTTCAGCACCTTTACGATATCTTTAACGAGTAACTCGGGTGTCAGCGTGCCTGCGGTCGACCCGTGCTGCCTTCAGTCCAGCTCCTTTCTTGCCTGCCGAAAGCTGTTCCACAGCACGCCGTGAGTCACAGGATCACAGAATCACAGAATTTCTAGGTTGGAAGAGACCTCAAGATCATCGAGTCCAACCTCTGATCTAATGCTAACAGTCCCCACTAAACCATATCCCTAAGCTCTACAAGGATGAGGGTGGTCTTCTTCCAACAGTCACTTATAAAAATGTGTCAGCTACAGAGAAAAGATCAGCGTGTCACTGGTTAGGCAGAGCTTACTCCTGAAATGACGGCGCGGTTCGTCAGTTATGCGGCAGAGATGCTGACTCAGCAGATTTACCCTTTTTTTTCTTTATTGTAGCTTAATGGGTGTGTTAGCATGATGTAATTTGCAAAACCAGGCGCTAACGCTGTTCTGAAGTGGAGAATATTCTGTGAAATCATGACTTGAAAAAGTAGACTTTTACCATGTAAGTAGCAGGCTCTTGGCTAACAGTGAACGCCACCGCAAATATCCGTGCAAGCAAATCCAAAAATCCAGATCCTGTTGTTTTAAAGAAAAACTATAGCAGCTACATTAACCTTCCACTGCCTGTAGTGGAAGTTATTTCAGATGTAGTGTAAGACCTCCAGTTTGTTAACCCAGTGAGATGTGCGGGGTGGGGAAGAGGCCTAGGAAAGAGCTTTTTCAGGAATGTGCAGGTTTGGGAAGTGATGTGCTTACAGGAAGACTCTTATGGACCACTCCTACGGTGGCTTCTGGAGTGCAGGTGAAGGTAGAAAGCAGCATCTGCCTGTAAGTGCAGGGAGACTCAGCGGAACTGAACGCATAGTCCTGGCAGCAGGTAGTAGAGGCACAGGTGAGAGTTTCTCCCTTTTGACCCCATATGCTCACCCCTGAATTCCACAGAATTCATAAAGTTTCAGCATGGTTTTGAAGGCCTGTACGAACCAAACAGGAGAGAGTAGGTGTCCTGGTTTCAGTTAGGACAGAGTTAATTTTCTTCCTAGTAGCTGGTAGGGTGCTACGTTTTGGCTTAGGATGAAAAGAGTGCTGCTAACATGCTGATGTTTTAATTGTTGCAGAGCAGTGCTTACACCAAGCCAAGCATGTTTCAACTTCTCACTCTGTCCTGCCAGCGGGCAGGCTGGGGGTGCAGCAAGAGCTGGGAGGGGACAGACCCAGGACAGGTGACCCAAACTGTCTAAAGGGGTATTCCAAACCACATGGGGTCATGCTGAACAATATATAGGGGTGGCTAGCTGGGGTGGGGGGCCGGTTGCTCGGGGTTAGGCTGGGCATTGGTCAGCAGGTGGTGAGCAATTGCATTGTGCATCACTTGTTCTGTACGTGTTATTATTCTTAGTACTATTGTCATAATTAATGTTATTTTTTTTCTTTCTTAATAAACTGTCTTTATCTCAACTCACAGGCTTCACTTTCCTGTTTCTGTCCCTAGTCCCAGAGAGGGAGAGGGGAGAGTGAGCGAACGGCTGTGTGGTGTTTAGCTTCTGGCTGGGTTAAACCACAACAGTAGGCCAAGGGATTTATTGCAGTGTAAGCAGTAGTAGCTTCTTGGAGAGCTGTCTCGTTGCATTTTAAAAACTGGCCGCCAGGTTGTTTCAGAAGATTCAAGAAGAGTGGATATAAGGAAAGGCAATTTGATTTCTTGAGTGCAGTAATTGGTAGAATACAGCACAACGTGGTTTTATGTAGTCTGCAGAAAAAGGGAAACGAAAATTCCCTGAGCGTAAGGTTACTGCTTTTCATTTTTTCAAAATGGTGTCTGCTAATGTTGATTAACTTTAGGAGGCTGCAAACTCATTTCCCTGCAGTGGGATGGAAAGAGGATCAGAAAGGTAAAAAGAAAACTCGTGGGTTGAGACACAGACAGTTCAACAGGTAAAACAGACACTTTTCATGCAAGCAAAGCAAACTAAGGAATCCATTTGCTGCTTCGTATTAGCCTGCAGGTGTTCAGCCACTCCCAGAAGAGCAGGGCCCATCATGTGGAATGGTTCCTTGGGCAGACAAAGGCCATCGCTCCACATATACCCCTTCTTCCTTTTTTCCCCCTTTTATTGCTGACCATGACTTCACATGGCATGGGACATCCTCTTGGTCAGTTTGGCCAGCTGTCCTGGCTGTTACCCCTCCCCAGCTCCTGGTTCCCCCCCAAGCCTCCTCGCTGGCTCTTTGTAAGCACTGCTCTGCCACAGCTGAGACATTGGTGTATTATCAATGATATTTTCACCACAAATCCCACGAACAGTACCAAATGAGTCTGTATGAAGAAAGCTGTCTCTATGCCAGCCAACACCAGTACAGCTAAATTTAACTGTCCAAAATCTAGTGTGGTACTCTAGGAAGAACTTGTAAGCTACAGGTAGTGCTGAGAAGATAAGCAAAGAATTACTTTCCTCTGTCTCTTGCTGTACCAAAAACAGAGAATATTGAACGGAGGTTGTAAGGATCTCATTCAAAACACAGATAGGCAGCATATAGTGAAGTTGCTCAACGCCTTGTTAAAGGATGTTGTATGCACTGAGAATGTGTATGAACTCATGGCATGGGACAAATTGATACAGAAAAGTCTGCTGAGGCTGTTAAATAAGACATCATCTGTAGCCCATGCCTGTTCCACAGAGTATCTAGAGAGGTTTTGGAAAAATTGTGCTGTATATTTTTGCTTTCCTTCTATTCCTTCTACTTGCTTTTCTTCCTGTTCTTTCAAAGGCATTTGCTTGAGTATTTTTGGAGATGGATAAGTAAACCATAGGTGGGGTCATCCTTTTGTACAGAAACAAGGCATAGTTCCAAAGTGAAATTAAAAAGGTCTTCATGACTCATTTGTAATTCTGCTGTAGTTTTACTGTCAGCAACAGCCAGGGAGTCAAATACTAGAGCTGTTTTCAAGATTTTGGAAGATGATCATGGTTTTTGCTATTTTGTGAATTATTTCTGTGTAAAGGATGGAAACAATACTTAAATTAAGAAAGCTTACCAGGAAAGCTGGAAGTTGTTGTCCCCAAAAGCCCAGTTGTGAGGTGTTCGTTGGAACAACAGCCAGTTTCACAGCGGAGGACTTTTTTTTTTTTTTTTTTTTTTAAATCACAGTTTAGATTTTATCTACTTACAAGTGTATAAGAGGATGGCTCAGGTTGGTTGTGATGAAAAATCGTAAAAGTACTTGTGGCATATACCGTTATTAAAATGTTCTTAATGTGTAACATGGTATGTAGGGTATTCTTTACAAAGCTTTATTGAGTTTATCGTACTATGATGTTTGGTATTCTTACTTGAAAGTCAAGAGCTTTCCAAAAAGAGGGCAAAAAAGGATTGCATGAGTTTAGCATTACTGGTCAACCAACTTGTAGAGAGCTAGTACTTAATATTAGAGATTAATACACCAGTTTTTGTATCTGGTTAGGTTGAATGCCAGGTGTAAGTTGGTTCAATTGTGACTTGCTGTATATATCTTTAATTTTCTGTACTACTGTATTCATACTGAGTGAAGCATGTGTCTTGATAGTAAGAGTTCTGAATTTGTCACTGAGAAGTATTTCAGAATGTTTCCTCTTAAATTTTCCAGTGATGACAAGGCTGATAGCTCAAATGATGCTGGAGAAACTAGTAAAGCTACAGAGACGCCTACACAGAGAAGAAAACGTATTTCCACTACGCCAAATCTTGTCAAACCCAGAGCTGGGCCTTCATCTGTTCAGTGTTCTGCATCAAAACCGCAGAGGCGAGCATTGCAGGCTCCTGATGGCAGTGCTTCAGTTCAGAAGGATTCTTCGGCATCAGAAAAGAGTAGTACTGAAGGCTCTTTGAAGTCTCCCATACTGCCTGAAAAGAAAACGCCTGTGCCACAAGTGCCACAGTTTTCACCCCTAAAAAAGTCTGTAAATAAAGAACAAACTGCCAGTGTAGCTGCTCAAAAAAATGATGATACCTTGCTGAAGAACCTACCCTCTCCACTCAAGGAGAGACCAACACAGGAAACGTCAGTGACAAAGGAGGAAAAGTTACCTACAAAACCTGCTCCCGCAAAAGAGAAACGAATCTGTTCTGATCGTGAAAGGATCCTCAAAGCTCGGAAGTTGAGGGAAATGCTTAGAGAAGAGCTGAAGAAAGAGCGCATGGTAGGTCTGCCTTGAGCAGTGCTGGTTTGTGAAGCACAGAGAAAGATTTGATTCATCTAACATTGTCACTGCTGCATTGCTGTAGTGTTTTCTGACAATGATCATCACCTGCTTACTGCTAATGGTTTGTGATGTTTCATAATTATGTATGGGGTTAGTTTGTTTGTAAGCAGTAACAGCACTTCCCTCATACAGATTTTATGGGAAAAAGGTATCTTTCCTTTTAGTTAGACTTGCAACACTTTTTGACCTGAGACATGCTTTGTAGTAGTCACCTTTCCAATCTTCACAGCTGATAATACCTTGGGGTGGTATGTAAGAAGCTTGGGATGCGGGGCTTCTTGCATTATTTTAGACTTGTTTATTTACTGAGTTCTGTGACTTTATCTCTGAGTGCTGAATTTCTTTGAGAGGACAAATCACTTAGAGGTCTATGGTGACAGACATTTGTCCTCTCCAACAAATGTACAGTCTTAAAATAAACTTTTCAGTTGAGTGTAAAAAAAAATAAAATAAAAGCACCACGAACAGCAACACCAAAACACCACCCCAACAGCAACAGCAAAAACCAACAATTTTCATCTGAATGGTACTTAATAAACAAAGAAAAATATTAATTTGTGTAATATAAAGTATTTCCAGGCTGAATTTCTATTTTGCTTTTATACAGAAACAGTTAAAACACAGGCCTCCAATTATCGAAGGGCGTTCTCCACCAGATCGCTCTAAAATGACCATGAGAGACTTGATATACTATCTGCCAGAAAACAACCCTATGAAGTAAGTATGACTTTTTCCTGCTCCTTAGGTTAAGTAATCTTTTTTTTTTTCCTGTCATTTTAATGATTGTGAAAAGGAGGATTCTTAAATCAATTAGCACAGATGCAATATTTTTGCAATGGCAATAAAAACTTCCATATGTGTTTTCACATCTGTTCAGTCCTTGTACAGAAATGAGAAAGGAGGTTAGTGTACCTGTTGAAAGATAAAAAGACAAACCTTTCCCCACTGCCGATTTATCTGTACAAATGCAGAATTATAGTAAGTTGCCTTTTGTTAGCTAGCTTCTGTTAAATTTCATTTTAGGGACTTTGAGTCACTACCAAATCTAGTGGACTTGAGGAAAACAAAGCATTTCTGCTTTCTGGCTGCTGAATTATAGAATATGCTGCAAGACCCTGGAGGTGCCTCTGTCCCATCTGGATGGATGTGGCTGTTGCTGTTCCTGAACAACAATCGCAAACATACGTACTGTTATCCAAGTCCTGTTCTTCCTTTCTGGTTGATCAGAAGTTAGCTAGTGAAATGAAAACACACACAGACTCTCTAGGTTTATGAACACACCTGTGCTCGTGGATCCCTTGAATGCAATACAGCTTCAAAGCCTTGTATCATGTTGGAAACATCCCCTCATCTTCCAGGCAGTACATGCATTTCTGACATCCTGGCTTGTTCAGACTGATGTTTGTTGGCACAACAGATGTATGTGCCCTCACGCTCATTCTACAAGTACAACTGCAATCGTGAATCTCTTGGATAAGTGTGAGCTCTGCCTTCCTAAAGTCTGTGTCTGGACCCTGGGCCTTTATCAAGTTACTTGCTGGGTTAAGCAAGCTGTGTGCATGTACACATCAACATGCATGCAGGGTTAAATGGTTAATAAAAACACAACCTGGCCTCTGCAGTTGCTGGCACTTAGTCTCTGTGCACACTACCACCAGCTGCTGACAGCTCAACCTACAGGCATTAAGATCTGTGGTGTCTCCAGTAGCTGGCGTGCAAACCTCACCTGCCTGTGAGCCTGTCTGCCTGCTGGCACCTAGACCCACCAGCCCAGTGAAATGCAGCCTTTTCTCCGATTGAGTTTTAGTCCCTGTTTCACTCACAGAAAGTGAGATTATACATGGAGGGGGAAAAAATAATTCTGAAGGGTTTGAATTGGAAGGGATGTTTGAAGATGACCGAGTCCCAGTCCTCCTGCCAAGGGCAGGGACACCTTCCACTAGATCAGGCTGTCAAAAACCCCATCCAGCCTGACCTTGTACAGTTCCAGGGATGGGACATCCACAGCTTTTCCAGGCAACCTGTTCCAGTGTTCCACTACCCTCTGAGTGAAGAATATCTTCCAAATATCTAATGCAAACTTACCCTCTTTTGGTTTAAAACCACTACGCTTCCTTACAAAGAGCTCCTCCCCAGCTTTTCTTTTGGCACCTTTTAGGTACTGGAAGGCTGCTGTAAGGTCTCCCTGGAGCCTTCTCTTCCCCAGTCTGAACAATCCCAACTCACTCAGCCTGTTGTTACAGGAGAGGTGCTCCAGCCCTTTGATCATCCTCATGGCCCTCCTCTCGACTTGTTCTAATACTTCCATGTCCTTTCTGTGCTGGGGGCCCCAGAGCTGAATGCAGTACCCCAGGTGGGGTTTCACAAGAACAGAGCAGAGGGAAAGAATCACCTCCCTCCACCTGTTGGTCATGCTTTTGATGCAGCCCAGGGTACAACTGGCTTTCTGGGCTGCAAGTGCACACTGCTGGCTCATGTTCAGTTTTTTATCCACCAACACCCCCCCACAGTTGTGCTGTCAGTTCACTTATCACTGAGTTTGTATGTTCATATAAGTTCATATAATCCCACAACGTCTTTCTGAATACAACAATAGGTTTTGGAGAGTCCCCTCAAGCCCTTTCAAATATCTCATAAGATTCTTAATGATTACAAAATGTAAGTTGACCTTTAAAGCTATGCCTGAGTAGTTCCTTTCATCAATCAGTAGTAGACAAGTTTGAGGTTCATTATTGTCTGCTATCGTCTGCTCATTAATGTTTGTGAGCCTGTCTTTTATTTAACACTTACCTTGATTTTTGCTTTTTTTAACTTTTACACTGAGTAGTCCTTAACCAGATAATGCAACATATGCTCTTACTTTTCATACATTCCTATAATGAATATATTGTGCCTTGCAACCTAGCTGTTACATGCTCTCTTAGCTTAATTCAGTTAATTCTTACAGCAGCATGTGCCTTGATGTTGCTGACTCTAGCAGTTTGGGATGGTGTGTAGATGGTGCAAGGAGAAGGAGCAAGATGTTAGATTTGGTAACCTGATTAAAAGTTAGGGAAAAGAATGACCACTTGACCTCCAAAGTACAGTGGTTACTAGAAGGATCAGTTTCACAAAAGTAGTGTCATTGATTTTTCATACTCACAGAACTTGCTGGTCAATGCAAAGTGGAGTTGTTAGTGTGTACTGCATTGTTTTACCATCAGCTTTAGGTATTTCTGTCTCAGTGACTGATGGACCACTGTTCATCTTCAGTCTCTTGTGATAAGGCAATCTGAACTTCTAATTAAAAAGCGAAGAACCAATGTTCGCAAAGTTCGCAAAGTAATAAGACTTGAAAATAAGAACGTTTTATGTTTCTTTGTCCATTTATTCAGTGAAAGTGGGTTTAGGGGAATGAAACTGAGGTGTACTTGTACAATCTTTAATCTCTAACTTTTTAAAAAATTCTAGGTCTTCATTGGTAGAAGAAAAGAAAACAGAAAAAAATTCTACACAGTGTCAAATGAAAGAGTAAGTCTTGGTGACAGAGGTATTTAGAGTAAAAAAAAAAATCTGATATTTGGTATGAACATGTGTAAATGTAGTAATGTTAGCAATGTAGGTCTTTGTTTACGGTAACGTAGCCCTTATTTAAAATAAACTGTAATTTAGGAGGGGAGGGTAGTGAAAGCATTTTGCTTTTCATTTTTATGGTTTTGGACTTGTTCACTGTACAACAGAATGAAAAGCAGATTCCAGAGTCTGTATTGACTAACTTGTGTATAGGTTACATTGCTGAGTGGTTAAGTCATTGAAGATCTGGCATACAGAGCAGCAAATTAGAATGCTGACAAAAGTAATCTTTTTGCTTGGTCTCTTAAAATTGTAGACAGGAAGAGAAAAGTACTCAGGATCATGAAGAGGAAGATGAGGAGGAAGAGGCAGAGAATGGGGAGGACAGTCAAGATGGTCCACTTCTAGTTCCTCGTGTGAAAGTAGCAGAAGACGGTTCAATTATTCTGGATGAAGAAAGGTAAATCTCTGCCTGACTCATGGACAATATGTGCTAGATTGCTACTTCATTTGTAAAGAGAACAGTTATTTTGGATAGGGAGAAACATGAATGTATTAATATGATGAAAGTTGAGCTATCCTGATTAAGAAAATAGTGCAAATATGTGTCAAAATATGAGCAAGAATTATCTTATTATGTGTCTTAGTAGTGGCTAAATTTCTCTGAGAAACGTGGTTTTGGAGAAGGATACAAAGGAGGGTACCATGCTTTGTTACAGGAAATAAAATTTGTCAGTATTTGTCACACTTCCAGATGTGTCCTATCTAGTTCACTTCTTTGATTCTCACAGTTTCAATAATCTGCTCATTGTTGTTTAGATGTCAATATGATTTGCTCTAGCTTTATCTCTTCCATGTTGCTGCTCTGTTCAGCTGTCAGTGCTTTCAGTAAGTTTGCTTAGAATATGACTTTTAAAAGTATTAGGCTACCAAATTACTGGGTTCTCAAAATGCATTATTACCATGAGGTTTAGGCCATGATGTAAAAGAATTTAGAGAGGCCATTGTGTGGTTTTGCAAAATAAATTCTCGGATATTAAAAAGACAGTCTTTTTTTGGCAGGTATTTTAATTTTATCTGTTTGTACTAAATCTTATAAAAATGGAAAAAAACAAGTTTATAAATGCCAACTATATGTCTTGCTAGTGATATTGTCATATAAGTCTCTTTCTGTGTTTGCTTTTCCAGTTTAACTGTAGAAGTTCTAAGAACTAAAGGTCCTTGTGTTGTAGAAGAAAATGATCCTATCTTTGAGCGTGGCTCTACAACTACGTATTCCAGCTTCAGGAAAAGTTTTTACACCAAACCATGGTCAAATAAAGGTGAGAATACTTCTGGTTTCACGTTTTAAGTGTGCAGAAAAAAATATCTGTTTCTACCAATACTTTATATTTGATGCATTTTATTCCCCATGAAGTTGATGGATCTGCTTAAGTGTGACATGGTCTCAACCCTGGAATTCTTTGCAGCAAGCAGAGCTTTGATGTTTGCTATGAAAATAGGCAAATTAAAAAAAAAATAAAAAATCCAGTGCCTTTTGTAGGGTACCCATGACTGCTTCTGTCACAGATGTTGAAATGGTAGCGTGCTTTATCAGATGTGTAATTTTGCATGAACTTGCCATCACTGTCGGTAATCTGAAAGTTATCTATCTATTTTTTTTAAGTTTGAAATTTGTTTTTAAGTGTGTGTGTGTTTGTATGCATAACTATTTTATTTATTTGTTTCCTCCCAGAAACAGACATGTTCTTTTTAGCTATCAGCATGGTAGGAACAGACTTTTCCTTGATTGGACGATTGTTTCCTCACAGAGCCAGATCAGAAATTAAGGTAAAGATTAAGGCACTTAAATCAACTGATTAAAAATATGTTTTCCCCTTTTTTTGTTTATCTTTCTCTGTTACTATGCTTCCTATTGGTATTGGTAATTTTAATGCTAATTGGCTCTGTAGCAGTGGTTTTAATAAATGTTTCCAGGAGGTGGAAACATAAAAGTAATCTAGTAAATCTAACATGTCTAGGCAGTTTGTCTTGATTTTATTTTAATTGAAAAATGCTGATAAACATATTGGATGTTTGATGAAGCTCTTTTGTGTTACCTCTTTCTTGGTATGCAGCTGGGAAAACCTTCTGTATTTCAGACTATGCTTAGACTGGAAGCAAGGACAAAGATGTCGAAAAGAATCAGAAACTACGGCTGATATGTATTAATGAAAGAAAATAAACTTTAGCTTTTATATGAAAAACTGAATAGCAAACTGTGTTGGTTTTACCCGGGTGGGCGGCCGAGCTCCAACACAACTGCTCTCTCGCTCCCCCTCCTCAAAGAGGAACGGGGAGAAAATACGATGAAAAGGGTTCAAAGGTTGAGATAAGGACAAGGAGATCACACAGTAATTATCATGACAGGCAAAACAGACTCAGCATAGGGAGACAGTAATAGGTAATAAATCTTACTAACAAGATACAGAAGTGAGAAACAAATGAAAGAAACCAGCACCTTATCCCCCATCCACCGTCCTCCACCTCCTCCCCCTGAGCGGCGCAGGGGAATGGGGGAAAAGGGGTTATGGTCAGTCTATAACACTTCTTTGACGCTCCTTTTTGGTCACGCTCATCCCCTGTGCTGTGGGGTCCCTCACACAGGATGCAGTCCTTGATGAACTGATCCGGCGTGGGCTTCCCACAGGCAGCAGCTCTTCCAGAGCTGCTCCAGATATGGGTCCGTACCATGGGGTCCATCCCTCAGGAGCAAACTGCTCCAACCTGGCTCCCCCATGGGCAGCAGCTCCTGCCAGGTCACCTGCTCCTGCGTGGGCTCCTCTCCACGGGCTACAGGTCCGGCCCACAATCTGCTCCGGCAGGGGTCTTCCACAGGCGGCAGCCTCCGTCAGTGCAGGGCCACCTGCTCCACTGTGGTCTCCTCCACGGGCTGCAGCGTGGAACCCTGCTCCAACGTGGTACTCCATGGGCTGCAGGGGGACATCCTGCTTCACCATGGTCCTCACCGCAGGCTGCAGGGGACTTCTGCTCTGGCACCTGGAGCACTTATCTCCCTCCTTCTTCACTGACCTAGGCCTGCAAGGTTGTTTCTCACTCTTCTCACTCTCCCAGCTGCTGTGTGTCACAGCATTTTTTTCCTGACTTAAATATGCTCTCACAGAGGTGCAAAACAACATCGCTTATTGGCTCAGCTCTGGTCAGCAGTGGGGCCCTTCCCAAACATGGGGCAGCTTCTAGATCCTTCTCACAGAAGCCACCCCTATGGCCCCCTGCTATCAAAAGCTTGCCACATAAACCCACTACACAAACTTACGTTCTGTCAGCGTGCTTGCAAGTTTTTACAACTTTAGTTTGTAGAAAATTTTGTTGCATTAAATAAGGCTTACTTTGATCTTCTGTATTTTACAGTATCTTGTTGCATTTCTTGCTTACTGAAAAGGACTTTTTTTTTTTTTTAGAACAAGTTCAAACGTGAGGAAAAAGCAAATGGATGGAGGATAGACAAAGCTTTCAGTAAGTAAAGGAAGTGTACCCCACCCTACAGCGAGTCATTTATGTGCTAGTCATCTTTCTTCATTGTCATTTTTGTGTTTTGCCTTGCTTGAATTAATTATGACCAAGGTTCTTGGTCATAGGTGAGTTTAGAAGCTGCGGCATATTAAGTTTTTTTGAGAAATAAGGTTGACAGTTATGGTTATGTTTATTTTTTTTAGTTTTCTGAAACATGAGATTAATATACCCTTTTCCATATGCATTCAGTTCATTATTGTAATTCATGATAATTTTTAGCACAGTTACTAATTGTGAATTGCTTTGAGAATTTTTAAATGTTTTGTATGTTATCTGAATGAGATATATAAATCTTGAAACAGCATGTTAATATATGTTAATATATTTTGTGATACTATGGTGAGTACTGTGACCTTTTTACTGTCTGTTTTTTAAAACCAAGTTGCTGTAATCTTTTTTTTTTTTTTTTTTTACCTCTAGTGCCTGGTCAGGTGATGCAGAAATTATTTTCAAAAGATTCTTTGTTTAAACATATATAACATCTGTATTTTAGGCCATAACATGTACTACTGAGCATTTCACAAAGTAAAAACTTGGAAAAATTCTCACCTTTAATTTTTTTTATTTCTTTCCTTTAATCTGTTAGAAGAAAAGCGGCCCTTTGATTTTGAATTGTTTGCCCAGCTACTTGAAAAAGTCTTGGCAGATGAGGAAAAGAGGAAGCAAAAGACAGTTAGAAACCAGAAGCCAAAGGAAAAGAAACCACCAAGGCCTCGTAAGAAGCCAAAAGGTATTTCAAAAGAGTGCTTGAGTGCTCTTAAGAGCAGTGGTCAGTAATATGTTGCTAGCATAAATAAAATCATGTAGCGAATCTCTTCCTTTCCTGTTCTAGACAGGAGAGAGAGAATTCTCTAGAGGGAGAGAATCCTGGCTTCATAGCGTATTTATTTTTCAGATGTAGTTCATTAATGTGCAGGGTGGTAATCATAGAATCGTTTAGGCTGGAAAGGACCTTCTAGATCCAACCTTCATCATGACCTACCAAGTTGCATCTCTAAACCGGGACACTAAATGCCACGTTCACACCTCTTAAATACCTCCAGGGATAGAGGCACTACCACTTCCTTAGGCAGCCCATTCCAATACTTGACCACCTTCTCAGTGGAAAATTTGAAAATTTGAAATTCTGAAATTTGCTTTCAGAATCCTTGGGGCAAAACCATATTTTGGCATGTTCTGTTACTTTTTAATTACATTTTTCTTACATTTTAAACCGATTTTAAAGATTCCGTTTTCCCTATACTTAGTTTAAGTCACAAGTCTGAATGATTCTTTTTTTCTTCCCTTCAGGGAGTCTTGTAGAAATTGTTTTATTTCCCGGTCTGTTCAAAATTAATGACAAAGATTCAATTTTATTACTATTGATCACAATATAGTATCTTATTATTTCTGTAACTGTGAAAGATTCTTTCACAAATGTGCTTAAATGAAAAAATGCATGTACTGACAGTAGTTTACAAGTTCAGTGCTGATTCTGAGTTTTTTTTTTTAATATTTTGTCCATAAAAACACATTTGTTTGTAAATAGTATTGTGGAACAAACAAAAAGAACAACCCTTTTAAGGAGTATGCTAACTAGGAAGCAGCATTTCAATTAAATTCTTAAAATTGATGCAGCTGTTTTTCCATAGCCTCGATTTCAGATTTGATTAAGTAAAATCTTCCACTGAGAAGGTCTTAAAGTTGTTTGTAAAAATTATGTTGATAAACTTTAATGGTAGCTTAAAGGTATTTTGTGGAAAGCTATATGTGAATGCTTTTCTACTTCTACTGCATTTTAACTTTCTTACTTAACAGGGGAACAAGTTAGTATACTACTAGTAAAAACGACGGGGAAAGGTGTTTGGTGGTTGTCTGATGTTCTGCATGAACTGAAGATGATGACAAAATGTTCTAGAAAAGGCAGGAAGAATTTTGGAAATGCCTTAAAGCCAGAACAGAGCTTATGAATTATTAGCTAGATAATAATTAAAGTTTCTTATGGAAAACAGGAATTATTAATTACAGTACATCTGTTGATCAAAATTACATTTTCCTGACATATTCTCTGTAACCATTATTACCTCTTTATACGGAGATACAAAAATTCTGCTTAGGAATAACAATATCTGTTTTTACTGGACTCAAAAATGAATACGTAACCTGGTCAAAAATATAGGAACAAGAATATTTGTGAAGTGTATTCTTTATTGCCTTTATACTTGTGGAAGTGTTGTCCCCTGTACAGAATGTGTTTTGTGTTTAGTGTTGAAGTAAATCTATGCTGAAGTGTTTCTGTTTTCTGGTAATATATTGACACTGAAGTATGAATTCACAAAATGTTACTAGTGAGAATAGCTTTAAAATGTATGACTCCTAATATTCTACTGATGTATTAACTGGGAACCACATTGTCTCAGTAGCAAAAGCTGCCAGCACAGAAACTCTTGATGATCAAGACGATCTGCAGGAGGCCAGAATTTCTGATGCAGAAACAGAAGCAGATGCTGTGACGGCTGAGAAGGAAAATGAAGAGTCCTTGGGCATTTCGGAACAGGCTGAAGAACAGGTTGCATTAGAGCCAGCATTTGCGAAGAAGAGAAAAAAAAGGAAGAGAAAGGATGATCCTGAAGAGGAAGTGGACAGTTTTCCAGAACAGCTGGCTGTCCCTTCAGAAATTGAAGAGGAAAGGAAATCCTCTAAAAAAAGTAAGAGGCAAAAGCACTTTAAATCTAGACACCAAATCTAGACTAAATATATTTTAGGTAACAACATTTTTCTTAAATCATAATAACTGGTAGTCATGCTCTGCTGGGATTTTTTTTCTTGTCTTAAATTAACACTTGCTTCACAGTAGCTAGGATACAAGAACTGAAATTCTTAAGCTGCTGCCCAGAATGTCAACATTTATTTAATTCTTTTTTATTAGCAGGAAAAAAAATGGAATGCGATACAAACACTGATGATCGTATTACCTGCAGAGAAGAATTGGACACTGTTATTGAAGAAAAACAAGATGGTCCTCCCACTAAAGAGGAGGAAAGATCGCAGTCCTGTTTACCAGTGGATGACATAACAGAGAGGGAAAGTGATCTCAGTTTATGCAGGTAATGTTTGTAGTGGAAAGCTTAGGAAAAATAAAAAGTGATTTGAAGTTTTTAGTTGTAATGTAGTTTTATTTTTTTTGTAATAATTCTTAAAATTTGTTCTTACTGTCACATTAAGTAGCAGAGAATGGGCAGTTTTTTAGATTCTAAGGACAGTGCTGGGTAAGCAGCTTTTAGTTTTTTAGTTTTTAGTTTACACGGTCAATATATTCTCTACCCTGATGCACTGTCCTTGGAAAATAAATTTACATTAATACCAAAGTTCTATCTAAAACTCCTTTCATCATGAAGTGATAAGGAATGGATGTTCATGAAGCCTGTTGGATTATCCTCACCTCTAATAATTTCTCTCAAAACGCTGCTTGGTAATGTTGTTAGGTATTGTTACTGCACACCTGGAATTTTTTCTATTTTTAATATATATTTTTGTTGTTGTTGTGGAAAAGGAAGGCTGCTTGGATTTTAGTGTTGAACTTGGGCAGAGAGGCAGACTTTTGTTTTCAATCTTGGGTATTCCTTTACTAGAAAAAAAACAACAACTTGTTTTGTTAAACTTTGATATGAAAGCAGTAAATTGAGAAAGTCATTATGAAGCTGTTAGTACTACTTGATCATTTGATATGCTCTATAACTACTCTGTATAGTCACACTGTAATTGTTTTGTTATTTTATACAGTTTCCCAGAAACTTTTATGTGCTTTAATTCCTCATTGGAAGTACATGAAAGAACAGTATTTGTCCTTGAGCCCAGCATAGTTACAGAAGATGAGGGAAAAAATCGTCTGCATACAGTGTTTATATCAGTAAAGTCTGTTTGTAAAACTATCTAGTCTAGAATACTCAGGTGAGATTTTAACATCTTGCATTGAAAAAGTACAAAAGTTGTTTTAAAGCTCACATCATGGGAATATCACTAGAATTTTTCAGATTCTCTGAAAAATGTAATTATTAAATATCAAAATTGCATACTGCTGTAAATATAAATTTTTATGTGGAATTTGATCTGTCTGTAAATAAAACTAGCTTTTTATCAGAGTACACTAATATTGTGTTTTTTATTGTGCTTTTATTGATTTCAGTTTTCAGGATAGCAATGATGTTATACTTGAAACAGAATCTGCTCAGCTGGGAACTGTAAATATCCCAGATGATATATCACAGGAAATCCAGCTTTCAAATTTGCCAGTTTCAAGGATTAGAAATGAAGAAAGACAATCTGAAGAAACTAGAGAAACAATGGTATTTTTATTTTTGTGAAATTCTGACTTCTTAAAATCTTTGTCTTTCTTGTTAAGTGTTTATATAATTCAAAGTTGCTTTTTGGTTGTGTTTTTTTTTTGTCATGCTTTTACCATCAGGAGTGAAAAAGGCAACAAGCTTGGGAACAACACCAAAATCTAAATATTTTCAGTGTTGTTAGCTTTAATGGGCTGTTATACTAAACTCGTTCAGATAGTATACTGCTCATGCCTGCCTTACCTTGCAGACAATTAAAAAAGCTGAACGCTTTGTTTATTCAAAACTAAAGCAGTACAACATCAAAAGTAAAGATGTACTGCTTTAGAGCAAGTTTCCATTGCTTGCTAGTGGAACACTGGCAGCTGAGCAGGATGATCATTGCATTGTTTGCGCTGCCTCAGAATGGAAACCTGTCTAAACTTTCATCTGCTGGTACTGGCTGGTTTGAGGTATTCCAGAAAAGGTAAGAAACTGGACCAAAATTAAGTGGTCTTTCTTCAGGTATGCTGTAATCAGTTCCATCAGTTTAGAAACTTCCTGAGATTGCATCTGACTTTTTTTCATAGCCTTTAGTGGGGCTTCTATTCATGATTTATTTGGCAGCTTTTTTTTTGCATTTTCCTTTACATTTGTTGTCAACTGCATGGTACAGCTGAGACTTCCTTACTTTAATTACTAACTTAGTAAAAAAAAAAAAAAAAAAGCATACTCTTCAGATTGCTTTAAGCTTCATGCATGTAGCTTAATGCATTGCACCCTTTATTATGATATAATTTATTATATCGTAATATGCATTTGCATCCATTATTATGTTCCTGTTCATCATCTTCAAGCTATTCTTGTTTTATAAAACCATTTTTTTCTATTGTTCAGCATTATTTTTTTTCAGGCTGGAGAGTCTTAACCTTATACTTCTCCTTACGTAGAGACTATTCTGTTCCTCTGATAATCATTCTACCCTTGTGCAGTCACGTTGGTTTTGTAACTTAATATACTGTTTGAAGACTTGTATTTGAGCAAATTAATTAATTTTTCTTTGTCTTTCTAGGACAAAGAACAATCTTATGACTAAACTTTACAGTGAGAGATTAGGAAATTTGAAGTATTAATGTTTACCTAAGGGAAATCATTCCTGCTTTGGCCTTTTAGATTCTGTTTCCTAAAGCAATGTCTTTGTCATAGTGGAAAACTAACTGCTTACAATCTTCACAAACAGTAAATACCCATGGTTGGGAATGTTAGAACAATGCAATCTCCTGATACTAGTTGGAATGATATTTATAAAAATCAGTGAACTGAACAGGGCAATTCTTTATATACATGTCTATCATATGGTACATAGTAGCCAATGTAGCTAAGCTCAGCTCTCTGTCCAATTACTTATGCTGTTTGGCATGAGAAAAGGTAAAAGTAAATGATTTTGAAAATCTTGATTGTCAGTTCTAACTGGCTTGGCCTGCTGTGGTTGATTTTCTTTACAAGTAATGTGAATAGAGATCTAAAATTAGAAATAACCAACTAGTAATGTGTGAAATGTAATTCTATCAATATGATTAAACAAATGAATACAGTAGAGAAATAGTGTTTGCATGCAGTAGATTTTTATCTTAATTCTGTAGATAGGTTCTGTAAAAACTTTACTGTAATTGGGATTAGTTTGCTCTTGTCACATCCCCCCCTTCCCCTCCGCCCCCAGGTTATGGTCCATATTCTTTGGGAAACTGGTTTAATACTAGACCTGGAAACTTACTACTAACCGATATTGCCTAAGGAGTCTGTTATCAGCTTCATTCAGTTAAAAGATGAAGTTACTTTGTGAGCGTTTCTTCTTGTTGTTAACTTACAGCAAAGAGTTCTTCATGTTTATCAATTTCCACATCATTTATTTTTCTTCTTACTTAGAACGAAGACACACATGACTTACATAGACGAGAGGAAGAGCAGAGTGCATCAGAAAGTGATTCTCTGCCTGAAATAATGTAAGTGGAATTAGATTAACTTGTGGGGGTACTTGTGCTAAACCTATATTGACTTCATTTGGGTGTAATTGTTTCACCGGAGTAGGTTCAACAACATAGTAGATTGTGATGATATTTTTTCATATTCAAGGAAGTTTTTTTTGATAGAAATTCTGATTGCTGAGGAGCAAATGATGCTTTGACTAAAACGTGATGTTTGGACATGAGAGAGGATTAACTGAGCTTAGAAAAAAGCTAGTCCCTCTACACTGAATAACAGCAAGAAACTTCTCTGAAGAAATGTTGTGATTTTATGGGTGAGCCTTTGTTGGGAAAGTTGATCTTAAAAAAGGACTTCACTGTATTCTCTGAAAATGGCATATGACCATCAGAGCTTATTAGCTGCACACAGCCCGTGTGCTATATTGAAACCTTCCTGACTGGAAATTTTTGCTCTTTGGAATTTGAGAGAGTAAGCTGAGACATACCTTTCCAGAAGGTACCCCAGCTCTGTCTCAGCTGCACTCCTTTATGAGGTTAATCTTTGTGACTATTTCTATACTTATCTATGTAACTGAGCAGTGATGTTTAAACAACTCTGTGCTCAAAGTTTCCATTCTATATGATCAGAGATGTAATAATCAATGGTATAATTCTTTAAAGTTGATTTTTGAGATGGTCTACTAGTTTATGCTAAGGTAGAAACTCTTTTAAATATGAAAGTTTCATGCTTCTTCTGTTAGCTTACTGATGGGCAACTCACTTGTAAAGGCGATCAAAGTTTCATTTACCCAGTCCTGGGAAGAGGATAAGAAAAAGTAGTAGTTTCCAATCTAAAGATTATCACTCATCTGTAGGGCTCTGGGAAGTAGCGTCTGAATCCTGAGATTCTGTATTGCAATAGTTAATAGGATACAGAGATTGATACATATGCCCCATTCTTCAACAATGTGTGGTACTGAGCAGTAGGACAGAGTTTGTCGATAGCAGTTCATAGTTCTTGAGCAGGGTAGCTTTGAAAGGGGATAGAGGGACAGAAAAAGGGATTAGCAAATTTTGTATGTCAAATAGATCTACTGTACTTTGGAGCAGACTTGTTGTCTCTGTTGAATTCAGTAAGCCTGTTCACACTGGTGTCAACTGTGAATCCCTAAAAGAAGTATTCCTATTTATTGAGAATCAAGAAATGCTTCCTTCAAGTATTTTTAAGTAGATTGCACTGAAGGCCATCAAAGGTATTAAAGTTTATTTGAGATTCTGTGCTTAAAGTAGTAATGTATATTATATTTTTCTGCTATTACAGTTTTCTTCAGTTTATTGGTACTACCAATGCAGTTTGTGCTGCTCTTAAAGTACGTCTTGGACCATGTAGTGTTTTAGTAATAGTAATATAAACTACCCCTTTTTATGTCTTAAGTAAAACTGAAAAGCCAGCAGAGAGAGGACACTTGCAAAGACCTAAACCCAATTTCACAAGATCCTCAGGAAAGAAAGAAGCAGCAAACCAAGAGAAAATGGAGGCCGAGACTTCCTCTCCAAAACTTGTGAATACAGCTGAAAAGGTCAGAAAGAGAAATGTTCCTTAATATGCTATGCACTTGTTGCTGTATCCATTTTGATGAGTGCTGATCCTGTAGACAAACTGCAGTGTAGTACATAAAATTCTGAGAACTACCTCTGAGGTATCTATCTGTGCATTTGACCAAGATTTCTTGCCTTTTTTTTTTTTTTTTTTGGGACCACGTTAATTTTCTTCATAATAGCTTGTGTAGTGTTCTATTTTTGGATTTGTAATGAAAATAGTGCTGATGGATGTTTTAGTTATTGCTGAGCACTGCTTATACAGAGTCAAGGGCTTTTCTGTTTATTGAACTGTCTGCTATAAAGTAGGCTAGAGGTGCATGAGAAGCTGGGAGGGACATAACCAAGACAGATGACCCCAGCTGACCAAATAGACATCCCATACTGCAGGACATTGTGCTCAGCATCAAAGTACTGGGAGGTGTTTGCCAGGGCTGCTGCTGTGGAGGGACTGCCTGTGCATTAGTCGCCTGGTGCTGGACAGTTGAGTTTTGCATCCCTTATTTTTTCTTGGTTTTGATTTTCTTTTGTTTACTTTTTTGATGCATGAAGCTGTATGTCAACCTGTGAGTTTCTTAACTTTTACCCTTGCGATTTTCTTCCCCTCCATCCCTCTTGGGGGAATGTGAGTGGCTGTGTTAAACCACACCTCCTCTTGCCTTAATTACAGTGCTCTGAGCAAGACAGTAGAAGAAACAGAGATGAAGTCACAGAATTGGAGAATATGGATTTGGATACGAAATCTGAGTAAGTATTGAGACCACTTTTCCAGTTTCATTAGTATTAACTCTGTCTATAATTGTTACTTCATTCTGCATAGTGCTGTTATAAAAAGACAACAGTGAAGTCAAAAACTTAATATGAATCTTAAAATCAACTTTGGCATTTTCTTGGATGATTCCAGTAATGGTACTACAGTAGAAGATACATGCTGCTTTTCTGGGAAATCGCAGAAAGTATTGCTTTATAAAGTACCAATGTTATTTGGAATTTGGGTGGAAAAAAAGGTGATAACAATAGCTTGGCTATTCTCCCACCTCATCTACCAGTTGATGGCTCCATTTCTGACACTTGCTGGAGCAGGAGTGGCATGTAGTCTGTTTGGGTTCCTCACTTGTGTGATAACTTCATCTCTTTCAATAACTAGATAAATGAAATTTTCACACCCTTAAGACTGAATATAGTTTGGTATTAATGTGAAGGAACTTGCATATTATATGCAAATCCTTCTAAGAACAATTCAATGTAATATTGAGTTGTAAAGAAAAGTAAAGAAAGTTGCACAACTCATTGAATATAAGGCTTGAATATTTGAATATAAGAATAAATTTCATTGTTTTGAATCCTTTGTGCAGAGAGCCTGAGAAAACTGTAATTGGAATGACAAGAGTTAGAGGATGTCGACAGAGATTTAAACCTAATGTTACAAGAGCATCTGGAAGGAAAGAGCCTGAGAACAGTTCAGGAAATGATAAAATGTCTCATCCAGAGTCTGAGGAGGGAACTAAAAAGGTACTTTGTGGAGTAAGATAACTGGAAATAATATGTTAGCTAGAAACCTGTTGGGCAACATTCTTTTTTATTATTTTTAACTTATTTTTTTCTTTTTCTGAATATGACCAGGAATCAGCACTTATTTAACCAGTAGTGACTACGATTACTGTGTAGGGACCTCAGCTTAGCTGGGAGATTGTACCATAAATAGTATATGCCAGTAATCTCTCATGTCCTACAGCAAACACAGCTTTGTTTGTCTGAACTAGATTTTACTGCACCTTTCTGACTGTGTGAAATGTAGTGTGTAAGAGTCCGTATCTGTCATGAGAAACCCATTTTGCATCCTGTTAAGGATGGTTACCTGATGTATTATTAAGTGCAGCATTACCTAATGGAAAATAATTAATGTTTTCATGTTCTATTTCTATTCAGAATATTGACCAAAGTAATAGGTCTGATACTACCAGTGGAGAAGCTGCAGAAAAAGATGATAAAATTGTGGAGACAGTGTCTCAGTAAGTATGTGAAAAATGAAACAAACAAACAAACAAACCAGCAACATGTTACTTTCCAACAACTTGCTGTACTTCTCATGTCTGGTAATATTACATAGTATGGTAGTTATAGAAGTTTCTTGAGAAATTTCTGCAATGAGATAGAAATTGAGGGAATCTTTTTTTCTTTATGCATGAAATCAATTAACCATTTTTGTGTATAAAGCAGTGCTTTTAAGTGAAACATCAATCATGATGAATGCAAAAAAAAACAGGAAAGCTAGTCCTTTAAAAACTATAACAAGCTTTCTTTAATAGCTTTAATAATGAAGTATCACCATTTCAGTGGCAGAAACTGAGTATTTAAACAACACTAATCAGTGCTTATTCTTAAAGTGTCGTTCTTAAATCACAGAATCATGTAGAGACCTCTAAGATCACCTAGTCCAACCTATAGCTAACACTAACAGTCCTCCACTAAACCATATCACTAAGCTCTACATCTAAATGTCTTTTAAAGACCTCTGGAGATGGTGACTCAACCACTTCCCTGGGCAGCCTGTTCCAATGCCTAACAACCCTTTCAGTAAAGAAGTTCTTCTACTATCCAACCTAAATATCCCCTGGTGCAACTTCAGGCCTTTCCCCCTCATCCTGTCACCAGGCAAGTGAGAGAATAAACCAACCCTCACCTCACTACAGCCTCCTTTAAGGTTCCTGTAGAGAGTGATAAGGTTGCCCCTGAGCCTCCTCTTCTCTAGACTGAACAATCCCAGCTCCCTCAGCCACTCCTGGTGAGATTTATTCTCCAGACCCCTCACCAGCTTCCTTGCCCTTCTTTGGACACAGTCCAGCATCTAAAGTGTTAGGTGTCTTTCACAAGTGGGGAAAAAGTCTAGTGTGGACAATTTTATGTGAAGGTAAATTAAGAAGTATTTCCTTTATTTCTGTTCAGTGGAGAAATGACAGCTGTAGTGTAAGAGGAGAAATGTGTTTTATAAGAGATTGAAAAATACTAAAAGCTTTTTCTACTACTTCGTAAAGGGGAAGATAGCAGTGTAGAGGACAGGTAAACTGGGTTTAATCAGGTAGAAAAATAATTCATCGGTTGCTTCTTTCATCATGAATCTTGCTATATAACTTGGCTCTCAGGGTGTAAATGCATAGAAGCACCTGGTAGTTGTAGGTGCATCTGATATAAATAATTCAAAGAATATATTATGTCAGTAAGATTATGGAATGTTTATGATTTAAACATGTCATACCCTTCATTAAACTAGGTGCATTTGCCCCTAAACCAGATACTAAAGAATATGAGAAGAGCCATTATGGGTCAGGAAACTGTCTAGCGTGGTATTCTGTCTTCAATGGGGAAAGACAAAGATAAATTAATAAATTCTTACTTCTCAAGTACTTTTTCAGTCTAAGACAGACACTTCCAACTTCATTGTTTCATGAACTTAGGAATGCATAGCTCCACTTCTAAGAAAGTGTGTCTTAATAAATGCTTGAAAAAGGAAAATATCATTTCTTTGGAACTCTTACAGTTTTAAATGTCTTAGATACTTACAGATCTTATATATTTTTCCAGGTCTAATGAAATAACCAGTTCACAAGAAGACAGCAAACTGAGTGTTCTGAAACCAACACCTCTAAAGAGAGGCCGAATGCAGAGACCAAAACCAAATCTAGGCAGAACTGTTGCACGAAAAGATGACCGATCACATGAAAAAGATGCTGAAGAGGAGAAAGCTGAAAATGGAGAAGTAGAAAAGGGTGTGATACACCATAGAGATGAAGACAGTGGTTCGTGCCTCAAAAGTGTAAGTTTCTTGAACAGCTGCATATACTGCATAGGTTTTTGCGGGGACCCAAATAGGAGCTTTTCGTAATAAATATCTAGGTGCTTAAATTGTAAGCCTGGCATTTGTGTAACAAATTCAGGATAAACTGAATTGTCATAGAATTTTCTAACTCCTGCATTTAGATTCTGTTTTGCGTGGAGAGAGAGATTATATCTCGCATTGTTGTGTTATGGGTGATACAGCTGTGAAAAGAGAAGTGTGGTATAGAAAGCATGGTCTTGGAAAAGAGACCATTTCAGGTGGAAAGTATACAGAAAAATAACATTTTTAATTTTTAAAGTATAAAGTGGTTTCAGTTGAATGCATGGGAAGTGAGGGATCTTTTAGAGCATTTTTGTAAGAGCTACTGAAAAATAACCTTTTGTCCTCCTGCCCTTCTAAAGCAGAGGTTGGCCAAATCTTTTTCCTTAATTGAGTGAAACTTTTATTCCCCATAGGATGTTCATGAAGACCTACAGCCATGCATCATGATGTTAGAAAGGGATGTTTCAGTAGATTCTGAGGTGAACTCATTACGTACAAGGCAGTGCTCCCAAGAAAAGTCCTCAGAAGCTGGAGGCTGTGAAAGTGAAAAGGGATCTTCAGATGACATGAAAGTTGTTTCAGATTTCAATGCAGGGTAAGGTTATTTTTTAAATGGAGTAAAGGGATTGTTCAAAGCCATCAATATCTCTAGGCATTCCATGCTTTTACATTCAACTCTAGAATCAAATACCTTGTCACAGATATAAAACTTGCTTTTAATCAGGATTACACTATACTTAAACAAATAAAACAAAATCCAAAAAGTCATGGTGATTCCAGTTTTCAAATAAATATCTAAACGTTACTGAATTCCTGTGCTTATCTTATCCGTGTTGGTTCTACCAGTACATCCCCGTATCCTTACGTAAATCCCCAAGTGTAGGGGTCGGCTTCCTATTAAGCTGTCCGTAGAAAATAATAAATAAATAAATCTATTGTGTAGTTCTGGACATGATGAGACAAAGAAAGGAATTTTTAAAATATTTACGTTCCTCTTAGAGTGTGACTGGAAGTTGCGGTTGTTCTGAAACCGAACATTAAAATCCTGTATCTTATAAATAGGTCAGCAAAGATACGTTCTTTTTTCACAATGTCGATAACTTTGCTGTTGCTTTGAGAAAGTTACTGTGTTTTATTTGGCTACTGCAGTGGACAAAACTACATACGAGTATGTAACATATGATTTGGAGAACTAGTGCTGTCCCATGCTTTTGACTGTTGTTCTTTTTGCTTTCACAGGGAGTCTGGTCCTGAGAAGCAAGAGGAAAAAAATGTTGCTTCGTCAGCACGGCTACTGAGGAGTCGATTCCAGAGACCAAAGCCAAATTTAAGAACAATAACTAGTAGAAAGGAAGTACTGGATGTAAATAAAGATGTATCACAGAAGCATAATAGCGAAGAAGAAAGTTTGATGCAGTGTGATGGTGAATGTGGTAGCCTGCCTGACACAGATGTAAGGCTTTTCTTTTTCCCCCTTTTAGTTGGATTTCAGCTTTTGAGTTTATGGAACTGAAAGAAACATCTGATGATTTAAAAACAAAACAACACTTTTTTTACTTCCAGAAAGCTGGAAAATGTGAAGTCCTGCAATCATTGGAATCCTTAGGAAAGGAAAAATCATTTGGCCCTCTGGATGCTTCTGAGAGGCAAAGTTGTAAGTCCCCACAGACACTTTCAAGATCAGAGGATGGTGAATTGAAGTCTTACCTACCTGTAGAAAAAGATGGGACCTCAACTACTACTGTTGGGTAAGGGCGTAGCTAGTCAGTTTCATTCTTCATTTAAAACACAGGCATTTTAAAAGGAAATCATTGTGTTGATGGATTTCTAATTGGCAAATAAAGTCTAATAAAAATACTGAATGAGGTGTCAGCTCTCATAGTAGCAACACTAGTTATATTAAAACTCCGTTTATTGGTATTCTAAGCATTAAATTAATGAGCATTAATTTTAGGATCATAGAATGGTTTGGGTTGGAATGGACCTTTCAGGATTGTCTTGTTCTAACTGCCCTGCCATTGTCAGAGTCATTGTCCACTAAATCAGGTTTCTCAAAGCCTCATCCAGTGTGGTATTTGAACACTTTTATGGATGGAGCATCCGCAGCTTCTCTGGACAAACCTGTTCCTGTATCTAACCACCATCATAGTAAAGAATTTCTTTTTAATATCTAATCTAAAGCTCCTCTCTTTTAGTTTAAAACTGTTAATACATGTTCTATCATTATAGACCTTGGTAAAGTCTTTCTCTGTTACAAGCCCCACTTTAAATGTTGAAAGATCTCCCAAGAATCTTTTACAGGCTGAACAACCCTAGAAACAACCCTAGAACTGTTTTTCTCCATAGGAGAGGTGCTCCAGCCCTTTGATTCATCTTTGTGGCCTTTCGTAAAGGAAGGACTGATTCCAACAGGTCCATATCTTTTGCTTTGGGTCCTAGAGCTGGGTTCAGTGCTCCAGGTGGGGTCTCACTAGAGCTGTGCAGAAGGGGAGAATCATCTTCCTCCACTTGCTGGCCATGCCTCTTAATGCAGTCCAGGACACGGTTGGTTTTCTGGGCTGCAAGTGCACACTGCTGGCTCATATCGAATTTCTTATCCCCAAGTTCTTCTCCATGGGGCTGTTCTCAATCAATTCAGCCCTAACTCTGTACAGATAGTGAGGATTGCCCTGACACAGGTGCAGAACCTTGGACTTGGCTTTGTTGAACTCCATGAGGTCTGCATGGGCCCACTTCAGCATGTCCAGGTCCCTGTGGATGTCATCCCTATCCTTCTAGAGGATCAACTGCACCACTCACCTGGTGTTGTCTGCAGACTTGCTGAGCGTACGCTCACTCCCACTGTCTGTGTCATTAACGAAGATATTAAGTGTTATTGCTCCCAGTATGATCTTTTAAGGGACAGTGCTTGTTACTGGTTTCCATTTGGACATTAAGCTGTTGATGGCAGCTCTTTGGATACGTGCATCCAGCCAATCCATCTAATAGTCCATGCATCAAATCTTTATCTTTTGTGTTTAGAGGCAAGGGTATTGGGGACTGTATCAAAGGCATTACAGATATCAAGGTAGATGACATCAGTTGCTTTTCCTTTATTGTCCAGTGCAGTCACTCCATTGTAGAAGGCCACTAGGTAAGTGAGGCATAATTTGCCTTTTGTGAAGCCATGTTGACTGTCTTACCACTTCCCTGAATTCCACATGTCGTAACATAGCTTCCAGGAGGATCTGCTCAGTGATCCTACCAGGCATAAAGGTGAGGCTGACTGGTTGGTAGTTCCCAGTGTCTTCTTTCATACCTTTTTTTAATTGTTATTATTTTTATTTTTTAAATGGATGTGGTGTTTCCCTTTTTCCAGTCACTGGGGACTTAGTGCCATGACTTTTCAAATGTGATGAGGAGTGGCTTAGCCAGTTCATCTGGCATTTCCCTCAGGACCCTGGGATACATCTCATCTTATGTCCCATGGACATCCACCTTCCTCAGGTGATCTTGAACCAGATCTGTGATGGGTGGGACTTCATTCCCCCAGACACTGGCTTGAGTTTCAGGGACTTGGGAGATGTGAAATGAGCAGTTGTCACTGAAAACTGAGATAAAGTGGAGCACCTCAGCCTTTTCCATGTCAGATTGATTCCCAGGTTCATCTAAAGGGGTATGATTTCTATTGTGTTTCTTTTCTGACTGATGTCCCTATAAAACCCCCTTCCTACTGTTGTTCTCATCCCTTGCCAAGTTTAGCTCTAGCTGAGCTTCAGCTTACCTGATCTGATTCCTACATTCCTGGGCAGTATCCTAGTATTCTTTTCAGTGTGTTTGTCCCTACTTTCACTGTCTGCATTTCCTTCTTCCTAGGCAGTATCCCAGTATTCTTACCATTCATGGTATTCATACCACAAGGTATGAAACCAACAGGATTTCAGTGATGGTGATCAGACTGTAGCTTTCCAGATGGACAGTATCTATCAGCTCCTGTTTGTCTCCCATGCTGTGTGCATCGGTATAGAGACACTTCAGATGAGTTGTCAACAGTCAACTTCCTGGTAAAATCTTTTTTTAGGCATTCATCCCTTCTCGTGTAGGTGCACTCTTTTACCTTATTGCTTGTGAGTATAGAGGAATTACAAGGCATTAACTCTTAATTCTGTTGTGGAAGAAATTAGGAGATGAATAGTTTGAAATTTTTGCTGAAACAAAGGTTTGTGTGTATAACTTACACTCAACAGAACTTTACGTTTATGTGATGTCTTTTAAAAACTAAGCTATGTTTTGCATGTTAATTTAATAAACCTGTGTTTTTAATGACATGCTTTTGTATTAAGTTTCAGATTTTTTTTTTATTATTTCTATATGACTTATTGATAGAAAAAATACAGCTCAAGAAGAAAGTAAACAAACACTTCTTCAACCTGTCCAGTTTGTGAGGGCCCGATTCCAGAGGTACAGGCCAAAATTGGGAAGAGCTGGTGGAAAGAAGGAATTACAGATATCAGAAGATAATGAAGGGGAGAACAAGTCTGAAGCAGATGAGTTGGAACTGCAAAAAGATGAGTCTGCCAGTCCTGTGTCTGCCGTGGTATGTCTGCGAAGAATAATTACTTTGCTTTCAAAAATGTGGCTCCAAGTTGCATGTTCTATCTTATGAAGTTGTATTAAAACATTTAAGTTGCATTCTCTGAGGTAGAGAGAACATATGATAAGAAAGAAATTCCCCGAACCACCATATGCTGAGGTTTTGTAGGTACAAGATCAGTGAAGTCTACAACTTGTAGTATTGTCTTCTGAAAACTGAGATCTTACTTTGCTTAGACTACATGATAAAAAAAAAGGTTTATGCACATTTAGGTAAATAGAATAAAAGTTTGTTCTATATAAAAATAGGTTTTTTTGCTCATTTCATCTTTTCTGTTTAGATTATTAAAATTTGTGTTGAGGAATCCAGAAAGCATCAAGAGAAGGCAGAGTGTAGGTATTTTTCTGTAAGAGTGAGTTAAGGTTTTATTAATTTTGTAAACTTCAGCTTCACCGTTATAGTGCCTGACACTTCTCTACTTTACACTGTGTGTCTCACAGACACTTTACAAGGCACTGTTAAAGGTACTGAAATCCTTGAAAGCCAATATAGTATCAACTCTCTGTATTCATTTTGTGGGTTGCACATGAATCATGTCATGGCTGTCTCTTTGTAGATTCTACTTAAATCTCAAACGTAGCTAAGCTTTATAAGAGTGACTCATTTTTTTTTGGAGCGGTTGTAGCTCTTTTTATTCTTGAACCCATGCAGAGCTAGTTTGGAATGCTTGTGTGCTGTATTCCCAGATCAGAGCATGAGCACACTTCCCCTGTTCCGGTGCACAGTAGTATATCACTCCCAGCTGAGAGAGTTGCTTGTGGTTTGGCTTGGTCTATTCTAGACCTTTGTGGCCTGTGAACCATGCATGTATATCTGCTTTGTCCTGCACAAATGCGCAGATTCATAGCTGGTCTGATGCTTTTCTATATTAATGAACCTGTCTCAGACCTGGAGAGATGATGGATGTGTTTGAGCGGTTTCTTCGTGGAACCAGTGTGGCAAATACAGAATTAAAACTAATGAACCCTTCAGAAACTGAGGTTATGTTGTGGTGTGTTGGATGTGTCTGTATCGTTAGTGAGAGCATCTACATTTCAAAGGTATTTTCCATTTGCAAAAGTATTTTTTTTCCCCTCATGCCTTGTATAATAGAGTTGATTGAATGCTAAATAGAAGAGTGCTACCCACTTGCTTGAGTGCTGTTGATAGTGTTTACGAGCCTAACTGTAGGTAGCCCAGGACTGAAAAGAGCTATGTTCCCACTTGCCTAGAAATTGCATTACGTACTCAGGAAGATTACTCTCTTATAAACATAGCATGATTTCTTTTTTTTTTGATTCAAACTGGGAAATTAATGCAGAGATGTACATGTAGTTTGTATTTTTATAAATGCACTTCTGTTTTAAAACCTTGTTTGATTCTCCTTTTTTCTTTGTGCTACATTGCATAATGTTTTTATTTTTACTGCAAATTGAAGGGTGAAAATGAAGCTGTATTGCATCAAGCAAATGTATTGAGCAATGAGGAACAGACAGCAAAGGAAGCGCCTCAGGTGCCGTGTATTTCTGAAAACATACTGCATGAACAAAGCAGGTGAGATTAGAGTTTAGCAAAAATCACATGTGAAAAGTTTTTATTTGTTGCATAATAAGACACTTTTGCAAGAGTCAATTCTTTTGTTCATTTTGAGCTGACTTTCTGTGATGCTTAGGTTTCAATGCCTACAGGCAGCTTTGTCCCATGTTTTCAGAGTACTATTTTTAATTAAGGTGAACTACTTGTCATTGGTTATCTGGCAAGTACTTGATCTTGTGGCTCTTTTGATGAAGCTTTTCTTTTACTGGGTTTGTATTCCATGTACAGTGGTCATACACATAACAGATAAATTTTGCAAAATATTATATTTGTCTTTTATTGATCCCAATGTGCTGTCCTATTTTACTGTCATTCTTGATAAATTATGGGTTTAAGCATGTGTTAGCATGTAGAATCTTTGTTGGTACGCTTAGCAACACAAATTTCTTGGTATTGAAAATGTATTGATAAGCCTTATTACTCCTTCTTACATGTTAACCAGAACCAAAAATGAGAAATTTGCTTGACAAAATATTTTCTTGATTTTAAGTAGGATACTATGTATTAGAATTTCTAATACTTTTGTGTTGATTCAAAACTTAATGAATGCAAAAATGCTATTTTCCTTCCCCAACCAAAGTCAAGCGATGCTATTTATTTTCTAAAAAATTTGTTTAAATACACTAGTGCTGAACAATCCACTTCCCAAGAAGGCAAGCTGGGTGCTCTGAAATCAGCACAGCTCATAAGGAATCGATTTCAGAGGGCCAGACCAAACCTAGGAAGAACATACCGTGAAAGAGAATCTCCAGTGGCACACAGTCTTGCTGCTCCAATTGAGGAAGAAGCAAATAAAGGAAAAAATCTTCCTGTAGCAGAAGACTCTGAGGAAACTCTTTCCTTAAAAGTGAGAATTCTGTCCAGATATTTCTTACTATACTTTCTGATGCTTGTCTTTGCACCAGCTGTTTTAGAGGCATCTGAATAAGCTGTTTTAAACCTATAAATTAATTTTGGACCGGTAAGAATTACATTCTTGTTTCATACTTGTGCTGTTACAAGAGGTTTTTTTTAAATTATGTATTAATGCCACATAATATGTGGGCTACTGTTACCAAATTTAAAGACCTGTCCTGCTTGTCCTTTAAACTTTTTGAAAATTCAGTCATGTACATTGTAAATGTTTACCTGTAGCACATGCTCCTTTTGCTAGGTTTCTTCTGATCCCCTTGGTGGTTGCTTATGAAAGACTATTTTTTCTAGTATATGTTTTATTAAATATCTCCTTTAAATGAACAAGGAGCAGTGATGTATGCCATAAACTGTTTGCTTAAAAACTTTCAAAGTTTTGTTTCAAATTGTCTGGATCATAACTTGCAATGCTTTATTTTACAGTTGATCTATTTTGTATTAATATATATATATATTTCCAATTTTAAGGATGACGTGGAAAGACTGTTGTTTGTGGGTAATTTGGCCAAGGATGACAGTCTAGACATGAATCCAAAAACTCTGTGGTCAGAAACACTCTATTCCCCTAAAAAATCACCGAATTGCCACAGCAAGGGAGATCAACATCTAATTACACATCCTATAGGGAACATTCAAGATTCCACCAAAAGGTAAAAATCCCTGTTGACAAAATAAAATATTCTTTAAAAAGCTGGTGTGTTTTTCCACTCGTTTCCATTCAACACTTGAATTTCTGAAGCGCAGGCTCTGAGCTGTTAGTTCTTAGATGCTATAAGCTGTGAAGGTCACTAGGTGGCATTCTTACGTGATTTAAAGAGTTTTTAGCAGATTTGTTCTCGAGGCCATTTTCCTTATAAGAAGGCATTTCACAAGTGGGAGTTTGAGCAAGTAGAGTTTCTGTCTCAGTTTCTTGATTCGACTAATACCCTCTTAGGTGCAGTGCAGTACACATGTGGATCCTTGAAGACTGCAGCGCAACTTGCCCTTACTTATAAATGAGAACATTGATGGGCTTGTTGTCTTAGATGTATTCTTAGTCTCTTCAATTATTTTTTTCAGGCAGAAAAATTCATGCAATTATGCGCAGTGACATGATCCTTTAGAAGGGATGCTTTTTATGTATGTGGCATAGAAGGCAGATAGTGCCATTCACAAACATTCATTTAACAATTGAGTTACATCTTTTGCTCACTATTTACTGATATGGAGCAACCTTGCATGAGTTCATTTTTCTATTCTCTGAAATCATATCCCACAGTCTTTATGCAAGTGCTCACAAGACAAGGGATTTGTTTGTCTTTTTTGCTTCTGTGATGGGGGGGAATTTTGCAGAATCACAGAATGGCTGAGGTTGGCAGGAACCTCTGGAGGCAGTGTGGTCCAACCTCCCAGCTCAAACAGGGCCACATGGAGCAGGTGGCCCAGGACCATGTCCAGATGGCTTTTAAAGATCCAAATCCAAAAGGAGGGAGACTCTACAGCATCTCCAGGCAGTCTGTGCCAGTGCTCAGGCACCCTCACAGTACGGAAGTGTTCCCTGATGTTCAGAGGGAAACTCCTGCATTTCAGTTTGTCCTGTTTGTCTCTTGTTCTATGACTAGACACCACTGAAAGGAGACTGATTCTTGTCATCTTTGTGGCTGTTTGCTGGGCTCTTTCCAGTAAGTCCATGTCTCTCTTGCACTGCAAAGCCCAGAACTGGACCCAGCACTCCAGCTGTGGCATCAACAGTGCTGAGTGAGGGAAGGATCACCTCCCTCCAGCTGATGGCAATATGTCACCTAATGCAGCCAAAGATGCCATGGGCCTTTGCAGGAAGGGCACATTACTGGCTCATGCTCAACTTAGTGATCACCAGAACCCCCAGGTCCTTCCCTGCCAAGCTGTTTTCCAGCTGGGTGGGACCCCAGCCTGTACTGGCTGTTGTTCCTCCCTAGGTGGAGCTTTCCTTTACTGACCTTCATGTGAATTCTGTCAGCCCACTTCTGCAGTGTGTTAAGTTCTGTCTGGATGGCAGCATGACCCTTTGGTATATCAGGCACTCCTCCCAGTTTTGTGTCATCTGCAGTTTTGCTGAGGGTAGGCTCTTCTGCATCATTCAGAGATGATAAGCTGGGCTGGACCCTCTGTTGACCCCTGAGATCCAATCTTAGTTACTGGCCTCCAATGAAACTGTGCCACTGATCACTGCTTGCAGGGCCCAGCCATTCAGCCAGTTTTCAGGGCATCTCCTTATCTGCTCATCCAGCCCATAATTTACCAGACTTTTTATGAGGATGTTAGGGAAGAAGTATTGGAAGCCTTGTTGAAGTCATGGTAGACAATATCGTCTGCTTATCATAGAAGGCTGTCAGGTTGGTCAAGCATGACTTACCTGCTCTGAATCCGTGCTAAATTCTCCAAGTCAGCTTGTTGTCATTCATATACCCATAAATGTTTTCCAGAATTAGTTGTTACATCACTTTGCCAGGAACTGAGGTGAGGCAGACCAGCTGGTAGTTCCCTGGATCTAAAAAGGATCCCCTTTTCTACCTTGCTTAAAAGTATGTTTAAAAGCTCAAGGTGTCTGTCTTACTGATTTGAATGTGCTTGATGAGATGTGAGAATTTTATCCTATTTAAAAGCAGTAGTACCTTGAGCACTGGAATTCATGCAGATAGCGTTCCTATAGTTGGTTGATGTGGGGAGTCTATGGTAGTATAGCTGAAACTTTACGTAACATCTTAATGATGTTTCCTTTCTGAAAGGTTTTTCTAAAAATAAACAGAAAGGTCCACTACTGCAGAAAAGCAAGTTATATCATTTTTTCATTGTTTTTATTCCCTTAGTCAAATCAAAATAAGTAAATAAAAATGCAGAATACTTAAATTCATTTCTGGCTGTATGTTCTAAATATTTGATAATGAGACAATATCATAGAATCTGTTTATAATGCATGAGAACTAACAGTTGAAAAATATTTTTGTAGGTCTAGTGTTAATTTAAGTTCTGGAGAAGAAAGTAAACAGTGTGATACAAAACCTTTGCATGAAGAAAGGGAACCACTCACGAACCCACAGCCAAACCTAATGAGAGTTCACAGAAAAAGAGGTCATCCTGAAGAAAGTAGAAGAGATGAGAACAATGTCAAGATAAGAAATTCAGAAGAGTATTTATTGTTAGAAAAAACAGATGTATCAATGGTAAGTACTGATCATGAGAGTTTTGAACCAGTTTATACCTCAGCTCTTGTATTCTTAGAACTCCTAGATGACAGGAATCTGGTATATGTCTATGAAAGGTTAAAGGAGATACTTTCGGTTTTGTAATTCACCATTGGAAATGATGCTGAACTAATGGACTTAAAATCTAAAAGCTGTGGAACTATTGTCTTAAGTTTTGCAGTTTATATGCAGAAGTTTGCCTTATCATAAATAGTTGCTAATGCTGTTGTGAATAAATTTAATGTTTGTTATTCTTTGAGCAATATATTTTAAGGCAGCTTTCTAATATCAAATGCTACCTAAAATCCATCGTTTTATAGTAACATGGATCAACTTTTAAAGTTGATACATAGGTGAACAACATATTCAGACTTTGTTCTACTTGAATTCTCTCTAGTCCTGAGCTAGCCCAGATTGTTTCCTTTTCTGTTACAAGTTGCAGTAAGTGAATCAAGTTTATCTGGTGATTCTTGTTTTTGAGACAGATCGCTAAAATCACTCATTTATTTTAGCCAAGTACCCATAATTGATGGAACTATGCTTACTAATGTGTTTTAAATAACACGCATTTTGAGCAGAATTGTATACTGTTCTCAAGTAACAGTTGAATTCCATCCCAAGTAGCTGTTTTTTTGAGAATAGATTCGTGTAGAAACTTTGTGAAAGGAAACACTGTAAGTGAGCAAAGTTCTGGGTTTCCTGGAACTACAGTTCCTACAGAAGACAAAGAAAGAGCCTTGATGTAATTCTGCTTAATAGAATATTGCTTAGGTTTGAGGGTATATTTCTGTGTGTTATTGAATAACACTTAAACTGTTCTGCAGTAGTTTTTTCTTCCCAGTTGGTTCCCAGGGCGGACAAAATAACTTTTCCTTTCCTCATGTTGTTCTCTAAAATAAATAAGTAGTTTCAGAAAACATAAAGTAATTCATCTTTCCAGTTGAAGTTTTGCTACTTGTGATAAGATGAGCATGGACTTGGTATGTTATTTAGTACCAGTGGGAAATTCAGGCGTCGTAGATAACACCCTCTAATGACAATTCTACTTTAAACAATGAAGAAAAAAAAGACATCCTAAACTATCAGGTTACAGCTGAGCATAGGTTCAAGAACTTCAAACTTTGTTTATTAAATTTTCTGTTACCAAAACCAGTTTAAAGATATGTGGCAATTAATATGATAGCAATTGTCTCTTCTGTTCAGCAGAACTCTAGTAACATAGTGGAAGCAGCATCCTTCCCAGAGGCTACAGGAAAACATGATTTTATAGACTCTCTTGAAGAAGCATCCTGTAAAAGAGTCAGGCAGAATAGTAGATTCCAGTCTCCAGAGGTGTCATCAGAGAGCGAGAACCAAGTAGAAAAAGATGACTTTCAACCTTCTACATCTCAGCAAAAAAAATCAGATGATCTTACAAGGTAAAACAGCTAATTTCAGCTTGTAATCTAAACTGATTTTTTTTTTTTTGGCTTTAGACCTTGATTAGTAGCCATAGTTTTGAAGTGTGTGAGAGAGAGAAAATGAGGAGGCGAGGAAGATAGATGGGGGGAAGAGGGAGAGGACACGTGCAGGATATCAGTACTTTTGTTTTCCATCTGAATCATGTCAGATGCCTTTTTACCCTGTCTGCACACTCATTAAATGAACATAGCCAGCACTCCCACCAACCTACTACTCCAGAGTCTACCTTGATCTCAACAGAAATTCCTGATTTTAAAAGAGGATGACCCATCCTGGGGAAAAAGGGACCATGGGATTTGCTGAAGGAAAAACCACTGGAAGTTCTGTTTGCTAGTATTTTGTTTCCTTTCCCCACCAGCTGACCATAGAAGCTGTTATGGGGAGGGGGGGAATTTGGAATTACTTTTGGTTCCTAAAGTGGTCACATCCATCATTTTGAGGATGGAAACAGTAACTAGCTGATGCAAAGGATTACTGTCTAAGAATTAAGAACAGATAATTAGTTATCATCTAACAGTTTTACTTTCTAGGCATTAGATAACTAAAATTTCAGTTTAGGTTTCCTAGTGCAGTATTAGCAACAGAGAACTAGAAATATTCCAATGATTTAAAAAGCACACAACTTCCAAGTCCCTGAAAATGAACATGTATTTATCTATTTCTAATGAAAGAATTGTGTAGCTTGTAAGCTTCATTATGCAACTTTTCAGCACTCTGAAACTGCTTAATAAACAAAATCCATAGTTTATGCATACATGAAGCTTTGAATTTCAGATGAAGTGGTATCTGAATGCCAATATATGTTAGGAAGTAACTAGATTGTGCTGTTGATTTCAGTGATCCTTTTCTATTCATTTAGTTTGTTTTTATTTAAGGTGCTTTTTGGGGGGAGGAGAGCAGGAGGGGAGAAGTCTTAGACTTCATTATTTTTTAAACATGCTCTTGTTCTGTGCTCTAGAAGGCAGTCTAGGAGGTCATCGAAACAGACAGCACTACCAAAGCATGGCTGGGAGCGACGAACTGCTTCATCTCTTGCTTCTGAATGTGATGCTGATTGTTGTGAGAAGGGGAATCAAAGACAAGAAGTTAAGCAGAGTGTTACTAGAGGCAAAAGTACGAAAGCTGCTCATAGGAAGAAACCTGGAAAGGAGCACAGAAGTTCAAAGATAACCTTAGTGACTCTACGGGCTTCTCAAGAGGAGGAAGAGGAGGAGACAGATGACTTTGAGCCTGATGATGAGGATGAATGTTTTGCACCAGAGGAAGTAAACAAAGCTCCAGTGTTTGTTCCTGTTGGTCTTCGATCTCCTGAACCTGTTCCCGTTCAGATAGAGGAAACCATGGAGGAGGTATGATGTAGCTGTGTTCTGTGTATGTACATTTGTATTGTTTGTTCAAACAGAAGCCTTTATTCTAATACCTGCTACTACTTGGTGGTGGTTTTATCCCAATTTAGTTTACTTCATTAAGAATAGTTTTGACAGTGGCAGGGATGTTTGGCTGACACAGGTATATGGTTTTAAGTGAATTACAAATTAGTGTAATTTTATTATTTTTGCCTATCTCATATTTTCTTGCCTATTTCCAAATCTGTTTATCCGGCCAGTTCCGTTCATCCTTCAGGTCATCATCACTGCTTCTTTTCTTTCATTCCAATTCTCGCTTTTCCTTCCTACTACTAATCTTCCTCTCTTCTGTTGAAATCCTGCTTTTTTGCATCCTGAATTAATCACGTTATTTCTTGCTCAGGGTGAAACAGCAAGAGAATTTAAAGCTCAGTCAAAACACTATGGGAAGCTCTAGAATAATAATGGAGAACAAAGGTGTTTCAGGGAAAGTTTTACTGAATCAAAGGTTTCCATTTCAATGACGTGGAATATATTAGGTTTGAGAATAGTCATCAAGTTACCTGGTTTAACACACAGATGTCTTGAATACTAGTACAGGATATGGTTAGATACCTGAAGACTCAGCTGTTTCCAGATTTAAATAGTTCAGTGGAAAATAGTAAAAGTGGAAGCTTTGCAAACTATGTAGATTAAGCAGTGATTTTCATTAGAATTTCTCTGCCAGTACCGTAACCTCTTGGCCAAATTTCAAGTTCTTGTTTCTGAAACTGTGAAATGTGTGAGGTTCTCAGTATAAGTATAGTGCTAGAGAAGAGAAAAAAAATACAGGTAAAATGACATGTATGTGTGTACAGTTATATTCCCTAATCTTACATTAGAAAATATTACATAGAAAAAAGGTAGAACTGATTTTTTTTCCCTGAACACTTAAAACCTGAAGAAGTAAGAAAACCAATAAAACCCATTTGATTTTTGAGAGGTATCTCACTAGGTGTTCAATATCAGCTAAGTCTATACATTATATAAAAGAACAAAGGCATTTGATAGATTTTCTTTTGGGGCTGATGAACTGAAATGTTTATCAAATTATTTTTACAGCTGGATATATCTGTGAATATCCCAGATGTGCAGGTGGCTACAGATGTAGAAACTCTCTCTCAGATAACTGTCCAGCCAGTGATCCAGAGGGAGGAAAAAGCAAACACCTCACCAACTGTAAGAACGTCTCGTTTGATTTCATTGTAGATGCAAAGCTATGTGGCTACCATCATAGAATCATGTCATAGAATCATAGAATGGCTCAGGTTGGAAGGGACCTCAAAGATAATCTATTTCCAACCTGCTGGCCGTAGGCAGGGGTGCCACCCACTGGATCAGGTTCCCCAGGGCCTCATCCAACCTAGTCTTGAACACCTTCAGGGACGGGGCATCTACAGCCTCCCTGGGCAACCTGTTCCAGTGCCTCACCACCCTCTGTGTGAAGAATTTCCTCCTAGACTCTAATCTAAATCTCCCTTCTTTTAATTTAAAAACATTCCCCCTTGTCCTCTCATTATCTGCCTCCATCTTTTTAAGTTCCCTTCACATACTGAAAAGTTGGAATGAGGTCACCCTGGAGCCTTCTCTTCTGTAGGCTGAACAGCCTCAACTCTCTCAATCTTCCATCATCGGAGAGGAGCTCCAGCCCCTGGGTCATCTTTGTGGTCCTACTCTGGACCCGCTTTAACAGGTCCACATCCTTCTTGTGCTGGGGGCCCCAGACCTAGATGCTGTACTCTAAGTGGGGCCTCACAAGGGCAGAGTAGCGGGGGACAATCACCTCCCTTGACCTGCTGATAATGGAAAACTGTAAAATATTATCAGTATTTAAAATACAATTTTAAAGCCAGGGTAACCTTTGGGCAGAGAATTAACGATTATATTAGATTAAAATTGCAGACTCATTTTATATCTCTTCTCTTTTATATCTATTATCTTTATATCTTTATTTATATCTTTGATGTGTTTTTTCTTTTTTATTTAAGGAAGCAACCATAAATGAAAATCCAGAAGTGGACAAAGGTAGATATGAAATGAATTTGTTCATGTCTTCCCCATTAACTTGCTACTAATAAGCAGTTATTATTGCAGGAAGTTCATTTATTGTAGGAAAAATGCTCATGAAATGCTGCATGCTTGGATATTTTGGAGGAGACTTAAACAATTTGCTTTCTTACTGTTCTTTATCAAGTAGATGAACCAAGCACTGCGAACTTCTGTTCCTCAGGGTCAGAATGTGCATTTTTTGTGTCTCATGTATGCTTTCCACGCTGCAGTTAGCTGTACGTGGGAGAAGAGGAAACTTTAGAAATGCGTACTTACAACTTAACCTGGTGTGTGACCAAGTGATAAAAAATAAGGTAGATTCATAGCTTTGCCATCATTATGGTCTCTGACTTTAATATTCTAGACTGTTAAGCTAGTATAGTGAAAGAGTAACCACAGCCTACCAGAAGAAAATACTCTTTCCATGTGAGATATGTTGCTCTTACAGATCTATTGTTTTTTAGAATAGCTTTCACTTTGAAATTTAAATACATTGTCAGTCTTTCTGAAGAGAAATTAAAATTTAATGGTTACCATCATAGTTGAATAAGGGAAAGTCTGCTATGCTCCTTTGATTTACTTCAGTACAATTGTTTTGGAGGATGGAAATGGTTTGTTTTATACGACCAGTTAGTTATAGCTGAAGGGATGTATTCTGGGTAGAGATTAGGAAACAGAGATTTAAACTGAGATATGGATTAATGCTACAGGTTATTTTACAGGCTATATTACAGGTTATATTTTTACAGCTTATATTACAGGATTTATGCAATTAAACTGGTTCCTCTTTATTTTCCATTTGTGGTGGGTGGGTTGACCAGGGTTGGCTGTGAAATGCACACCAAGCCACTTTGTCAATCCTCTTCCTCAACAGAACAGTGGGAGAAAATGGAAAAGCGTATGGGTTGAGATATAGACAGGGAGATCACTTACCAGAACAGACTCAACTTAGGAAAAAATAATTTATTTTATTACCGTCAAAAGTGGAGGTGGGTGGTTAGAAGTAGAGAAAAAGACTAAAACACATCATCCTGCCACACCCTGCCATCCTACCCTTCCCCAGGCTCAGCATCAGTCCTTCACTCCTGACTTGCCACTCCCTACCCTACTTGGGAGGAGGTGACAGGGGTTGTGGTCAGTTCTTAACACTTTGCCCCTGCTACACCTTCCTCCTCACACATTTCCTCTGGTATGGGGCCCTTCCCATTGGTTACAGTCCTTCAGGAACAGCTACTAATACAGGATCCAGGATAAGCCTGTTCTACCATGTCCTCCATGGGCTATAATTCCTTCAGGGAATATCCTTCAGGGAATATTGAATTTAGTGGGAATTGCCATCTGTCAGTGAGTATCTTGATCCGTGAATGGCAACAATTTAAAAATGCATTCTGCAATGTATTGATAATAGTGTCAAATGTTTTTTTTGAATACAGGTAAGTATAATATAAATATACTTGTGACTTTTAACCTGTGTGTGAACAACTTTGCAGGAATTAATGATGGAAGCACTGAAGCTGCCATGACTTTACTTGCAATGGGTGATCCAATGTTCCAGTTAAAAACAAGCACTGAAGGTATGATCTGATTTGAGACAAAGCCTTCCTTGTGCTTTCTGGGTCCATGCTTCTTCCCCATGCTGCTGCATAGCAAGAGTTCAGGAGTCTTTTATGCATTTTGTTCTGTTGAATTGTAACACATGTAGTGAGACTAAGCAATGCAGCTTGGCTGGAAAAAGCAAGGCACCTTACTGGATACTACAAACTGCATCACTGTGCTAGAAAGATGTTTCGAGAGCTGTTTAAAGAAGCACATGCTTGAATTAATCTATGTTGGTCACATAAATTGAACAAAAGAGAGGATCCAAGCTTAAATGAGCATAGGTATCAGAGATCTTTCCAGGCCTTTAAATTGGAACGTAGCTTCCCAAGTAGCTGTAACCTGAAATTACGTTTTCAGTCTAGTTTTTGGTAGACTTTTATACAGAATTTATTGTCAGCTTTCATTGGTTGAATATTAATTTCTGTCTTTTAAGTTATGCTCTTCTGTTTTGTTTATTGTTCTAACCAGAATGGACACAGATGTTACCAACTCAAGATGAATTGAACTTGTCCAGTAACCTTGTGACCCACGATTATGCTGAGCAAAATAGGACTCCTGATCAGTACTTAGTTTCTTCAGCCTCTTACACCAAGAATTTGGTCCTTTGTGACGATGGAAGCAACATTAATGTAGAGGATCAAAGCACTGATGCAGGAACAGGTGTTGAAGAGTATTGTGAGAAAAATGCTACCAGGTTCAATTAGTACCTTAATTAATATTTTTATTTTTATTTTTTGATTAAATTACTTTAGGAAGAGATCCTATAGCACTGCTTATGTTTGTGATGCAATATGGGAAATCCCTCTTGCATTTCTCTTATGATTTTTGAGATGTTGATATGTGATTTGGAGACTGTAGAACTTGTTTTTAGCTTCTGAAATTATGCTTATGTTGAGGAGGGAAGAATGTGAGAACTTCATTGGTATGGATTGCTGCTAGTTACCAAGCCCATTTTCCCAAAGTACTTTTTGGCTAATCAGCCCAAGGCAAATTGCTTACGTGTCAGTGCTGGTCTGTATTCTACATTTAGAGCAAATGAATGTCAAAGAACTATTTGATCTTATATCATCATGTCTTCTAGTTTTGTTAAAATATTTGCAAACATTGAAATAGCTTGATGGAACAGCTTTTCAGAAAAATCTGGTAGTGAACATGTTTCTTTATTTGGAGGACTGTAACTTGTTGACTGCTTGAACACACTATCAGATTATATAATTCTAAAAAAAATATAATCAGAGATTTTGATTTCAAATTAGGTGGTTCTTTTACTATATTATTAGCCAGAACTTAATTTCATACGATCAGTGTTACATATCTGATGTTCTCACATTTTTTCCATATTTCATCAATTTCTGTAGATAGAGAACATACAAGTTTGTAGTAAACTTGTGTGCTCCAATTCCCAGTGTAGCTGATCTTTATTTTTTCGTTGTTCTGCCAAATAGCCTTTGTGCCTTCACTGACAGTTATAGTCTGTATTTCATCTGTTCATTTTCTCATCTACTACACCTCTCCTATCTCTTCTCTGTGCAATGATCTTTGCTGAAAACACTGATTTTATCACATAGTTCTTGATTTTTGACAGCTAGCAATGTTGATGGCATTTCTTTTTAATTGTAGTAATAGCCCTCTGTCGATGGTAAATCAGAGACTGAGAAGAGACAGACTCCTAAAGCCTCAGTCAAACCTTGGAGTATTGAGGTCTAATGAAAACATACTTCAGGAGCCACTTAATACAAATGTAGTTGTGGAACAGCTGGACCAAATTCAAAGTGGTAAGCCCATTTCTTATCCTAGGGTTTTGAAATAGTTTCTTCTAATGGATTCATGTCTGTAAAACAAAACTAGGCTGAAGGTATTTTTCACTTCTGCTCACATTCACAGATTGTGGATCACTGTTTTAACAACAGACTATCTGTTTATGGTATGGTTTTATACAACACCAAATAAAATGAAATCTCAGTAGCAATTACTGATCTGGCAATGACAGAAATACTGTACAGTACATTGTACTTTTTTTTTCTGTTGTTACTGTCTTTCCCTTCCACTAAAGGCAGAAGGGGAGATATACAGAATAGTTTCTATATTCTTCAAGCAATTACAGAAAAACGGTGGTCTGTAGGGTGTTCAAATTTTTAATTATATTCATACCACTGGCAAAAAAAAACCCACAAAATACTAAGGCAAGTTGATACATGTGTATATATATCATTTACATTAATTTTAAACTGTGTATACAGACCAGCAAAATTTTTACTATGGTTTTTGCATAACTTGTGTGTGTATACACTTTATGTACACACTAAAAGAATAGATTTTATAGTGCAATTATATGCACACGTCAGTATTTTTAATAGACAAAAGCTTATATGTAAAAATAATGTACAAGAAACTACACAATTTTTCTGTGTATGTATATATATACACATGAATAAGTGTAAATATGCATATATACAAGTGCATGTATAAATATTTATAAAATAATATTTATATAACTTAGAGTCTACAGAGCTGAGAAGTACTGCAGAAATGCAAGGGGTGGAACTAGAACTGCTCAGACCAACTGCAAGTGATTCTTCAATTCTTGATAATTTTGCAACTAGTATGGAACTTGTCAAACAAGTGAACAAAACAGAGAGGTAGGAAGAAATCATCAGTTAGTATTTGATTTCATTTCTAGAGTCTTATAAAATAAGCAGTTTTGTAATACATCTGTGATGGACATTATATGCTTACAGATAATGCACAGAAGCTTAGTTTGACATTTTACTTCTAAGGCTGTTCTATATTGTCTTGCAACTTCTGGAGGTAAAACATTAATTTGTGTTTGCTGTTTCAGTATTTGGTAATTACTTTGCTAATTAATTCTCTCCCAGAAAACTGTGTCTGAAAGGAAATGTTAAGTAGCTGATCAATTTGGAAATGTTAATAAGCTTGTAAGACTACATGCTTGCTCATGCCTTTAGTAGTAAAGTTTCAATTAGTGGTGTTGGGCTTTTTGCTGAAGTACTTTATGTAGACTTATGTAAAGATTATGCATTTCCCGTAGTAGAAGTATGTAATTTTCAAACAGGTGCTCTGTTTCTCTGTATGTAAGCTTCGCATTAAATGCATAATTATGCAGAATTCAGCCTTGGTTTCAAACTAACTAGGTATGTATCTTATAGAACAGAGAAGGAGATGACAGATGATTGTAGGACTTCAGGGAATTTATCACCAATATATAAGAAATCTCACCTTGGACTAGAGGATTATCTGAATCAAAGTTCTGTGGATGGACTTACCATGCAAAATCCTTGTCCTGCTGAGCACAGCATCTGTACAATCAACTTTGCTCAGGTAAATAATTTAATTACAGTCTGGAAGTGCACCTTTTCTCAAACTCTAGAAGAAGAGGTTTCCAGTGCAAATGTCTTCACCCATTTTACAGACCTGGTAGGTCAGCTGGTGAATGAAACCCCTCTTTATTTTTTTTCACGGGGATAATCAATCATTCAGGCAAACCCCATCTTTGCAAGCCTCAGTTTTTAGGGTTTCAGCAATAAGTGATAAATTTTAGAAAAATTTTGAGGATTTTTGAAAATGAGTTTTGATGGAAGAAGTTACCTAAGACTCCTGTATTCATTCAGTCTGGCCTCTTGCTGTTACTTTTTTTTTTAAATTAAAACTATGTTCTGCTGGACTCACTACATTTTCATTGTCCCCTTCATTTGCTGGCCTCTTGCTGTTACTTTTTTTTTTAAATTAAAACTATGTTCTGCTGGACTCACTACATTTTCATTGTCCCCTTCATTTGCTGGCCTCTTGCTGTTACTTTTTTTTTTAAATTAAAACTATGTTCTGCTGGACTCACTACATTTTCATTGTCCCCTTCATTTGCTTTGCTTAAAACAAGCTTTGTTTAAGTTGACCCTCATCCTTCGTTCTACTCTTTTCCATTTATTTTAAAACAACTTTTACATTTTCTATTTGACCATAGTAATGTATGTATTCCACATCCATTGCTTTGCAGTGGTTTGTGTATCCCAATTCTAGCATATTTGTGCTAGAGAAGTATCATATTTCTTCATGAGAGAGATTCATTTTCAGTTCACTCAAGGTTTCTAGTGTTGCTCGATACCCGTGTTCATGTACTTAAAGTGGAATAGCTGATGGGTAGTAGCTTGTTTCCACAGTGCAACCTGTAGATGTATCAAGACCCATCTAAGGTTAGACCAGGGTACAAAGACTTAGCTTATATTGGACTGGCAGAGAGTGTGAGAGGAGGCAGCTTGTAGTAGAGTATTCCTGTTCTTAGCAAAGGTGCATGCTGTAAAAGACAAAGTGTAGGTATGTTGCAGAGCTTAGTGAATGTCTGGCACGCAGTGTTTTTATAGTGGTTGGGGGAATTCATGTTCTTAGTGCCACTGAGCAATTTGTTGTGTAAGTCATCAGTGACATTTGTGCTGTAGGAAGTATAAATTTATTTCAACAAACTATCAATACAGTGAGCTGCATATATATTATATATTGCCCAAATGTTTCTTGTCCTTGACAGGTTAGTATCCTTCACCCTAGATTAGCTAGAAACAAAAACCTGACAAAATGTAATTATGATGATATCATTAGTTTTTCTGGCTCTTCATTTGACATGTTTTGTTTGTTTCTTCTTTTCTAGAGTTATTTCTCAGACTTACCAACCTGTTTTATTTCAAATATTTTATTTCTAGAATGAAACGTGTGCTCAGGATTGTCAACAGCCATGTGTAAGCAGCACAGAAGAGACTTCAGGTAGCATGTGCTCATATTTTAAGTCAGCAAAATTCCACACTTGTGTATGTTGCAGTTATACAAAGATGAATCAACAAAATGAAAATGTTTTTTTATTGACATAGTTAAACAATCTACTTCATAAGCAAAAATAAGAACGCACGGCATAGTGCCATTCCCCACCCTATCATTATGTTTCATGAACACAAACTAGACTTAGGAACTTTTGGAATGGCACCCTAAGTTTAAATAACAATGGAAGGGGAATTTCTTGCTCTTTCCTCCCTGCAAGGAGATCCTACTGCTTACCACTGCTGGGTTTAGCACTTATTAAAGCATGTTATGAGCCTCTGATTGACTCACCTGCCAAATGTGAAGGTGGTGGAGGGAGAGAACTTGTGTAGTTTTCCACCGGTTTAGTGAACTGTAGTTAGCTCATGGAATTGTCAAGTGGATGCCTGTGTCACAGTTGTGTGGGTGGGTAGACTGGACTGTGCAAGTCCAAGCAAGTGAAAAAGGAGAGGGGAAGAAAATGGAAGAAAACAGAATTCCCTCTTTACCTGGCAATCAGCTGCTAAATGATTAAAAGTGGTGAAAAGTACCAAGGTAATGGTTGCATGTTGTTAAAACAAATTGAAGTGGAGCTGGTTTAGAACCAATAGATGGCTAAGGTATGAGAAAATTAGTGTCAGAAGCCCAGAATAATTTCTTCACATGCAGATTGCAGTCTTCCTGCCAAACTCCTGAGCATGTGCAAAAACTCTAGGGTTAATATTTCTTTTTAGGTGTCTGTCATTATGCTTACAAGGGTCTTGGAACAGAGCCTTGTAAATCATCTTTAATTAGAAAAAGAACCAAAGTTAATAAAGATCAGAATAACAGCTTTAAATAATCAAAAATAAGAGTTGTGTTCAGTAACAGAGTAGCACTGTTGATTTCCATTTTTGAAAAACCTTTAAAAATGCTATCTCCTTAAATTCATTCTAATGGCAGTTGGCAGTTGTCTGTTACTTCCAACTTTTTGGCTAAATTATTTATATTTGTCATTTGTTCAGTTTCTGACAATAATTCTCAGGCCCTCTTCAGTCAGTGGGGAAAGGAAAAATCTCGAGTTTATTGAAAAAATCCAACCTACTCCTGCCACTTCAAAAAATAACTCTTACCTGACAGTAGCATTTAGAGACAGAGAGCCATTTGTCCATTACACAAGTTTAAATGAACAGCAAGTTGTTTATTAATACTAGAACATTCATTTTAAAAGCTCCATCTCCAATAGCTATGCTTAATATTCTTCATTATGAATAGTATTAAGAATATTAAGAATTTCACTGGAATGAATGAGCTCCAGGGAGTGATGATGAGTATCTTGTTTCAGAAGAAGGCAAGCATATTGTGTGAAGGATATTCCCATTGTCTTTTTCCTTGGAGAAACAAGCACCTAAAAGCTAATCAGTCAAGGGGGGGGGGTGTGGAGGGGAGGGCATGAAGAAGAGAAGAATATGGTTTGAAACTTGAATAATAGATTTCTTTATTTTTTTTTTCCACTGGAAATTATAGTAGTGAGTGATGATTGTCAATGTCCAGATGAAGAACAGACATTCATTTTAACATTGGTAGAAATCCCAGCTGACTCAAAAGAATTTGATGCATCTGCTTTGCTGGAACAAACTTCTGAACCATTACTACCAGCGCCAATAATTATCGGCTCAGAAAATGCAAGTGAAACAAGTGTGACTGAAGTGGAGAGGTAAACACTTAACTTTTGAGCATCTTAGTGGAACACTTTTTGTGAATCTTGATTATCCTTTGAATGTGCATTACACAGTGAAACATCTCAGAAGAAATAAATGCAAGAAGAAATCATTTTAGTAGGCTGGGCAGAGTCTTAAAAGTACTTAAATCAGAGTGGAGAAAGCTCTCATCAGAGGTTTAAAGTTACTGTTTTAGTTAGTTGGGTTTTTGGTGTCTATGTTAACTTTAATTCTGATTTATTCTTTAGTGTCAATTTTTAACAATAAAAGTTATTTATTCAGCTGAAATTTATTCTATCATGGATACTTGGAAAGAAAAGTAATTGAAAATGATAAATCTAAGCATGTTTGCATTTTTACAGTACTTTAACAATTTTCTAAAACAAAACAAAACAAAAACTTTAAACTTCTTTTATCAATTCCTCTTCCAAATTTCTAGTCTAGATGGCCCTTTGGAGAATATGATAAATGGCAGACAAATTGAGATATTGTTCTCTTGAGTTTGTGCCATGATTTTAAAGGCAGAAGAACCTAAAGTCAAATAAATGAATTCATTTAGTAGAATATTAGCTAGTTGGCAGTATTTTGAGACAAAGGGTTTGTCTGTATCTTACAGCAGGAGTGTTCTTCAATGTGACATAACTGAATTCTTTTAACGTTATGGCTTAATTAAATCAAAGAAAAATGTCAAAGGCAAAAAGATTCTGAAGAATAGGAAGTGTTGTTATGTTGTAAAATGTACTACTGTATTAATGTAAGTTCCCAGGTCAAAACTACAGGTGTGATGCAGTTCTCCACCAGTATGGAGAACTTTAAGGAAAATGTTATTCTATTTAAAGATCTATCCATTCAATAACTAAGAGTGAATTGGTGTGGAACTACTGAAGATAGAGAGAACTACTGACAGGCAGAGTTAGGGTACATCTGTCTCACTGTTCTCTTACTGCTTTACTTTATTTCCTAGTCTCTGCTGCTTCCTGAGATTTCTTACTCTCTTTTGAGATCATACCAGGGGGAGCAGGGAGAGGGTGGGAATTAGATTCAGCAGCACGTGCAAATAGTATTGCATTATGGGATTATTTAGGGCAGTTAATCAGTTGACATATTTTTGCATTTTATGGAAATATCAAATTGAATTCAAACAGAACATCTTCTAAAGTAATTAGATATGACTGTAACTAGCAAATTTCAGTTCTCTAACTTGCCTTAAGGTAGTGCAGCAAAATAGCTCTTGATGGTAAACAGTACATGTGAAACCAATACTGGCTTTAAGTAACAAAGAATATCAGCAATGATCCATGGGTAATTTCCATACCGAAGTATTATACAAGGTAAATTTTGGCTTTTTTTTACAGTCACAATAATGATTTTTTATCTAAACAGCACTGGATCCTTGACAACTGCAGCTAATGAATTTGATGCATCTTTGAACAACAATATGGAAACCAAACAACTACAGAATGCATTAGCAGAGCCTGTTCTAAATTTGGTGCGGACAGCTCAAAAAAGGTCAGCAGCTGAGCTTGCAGAGAATGACTTTCCTCCTGCCAAGAAAACTCTGTCTACTGTAGTGGAGGGTAACTTCGAAAGCCCTTGTAAGGTGAGAAGGTAATTTGGTTAGTGTGTCTGTATGCATAGTGTAAACGCTTAACACAACTGTAGAGTGTTTTAGCTATGTTTAATGTTTAACAGTACACTTTTAAGCAAGTGATGCTATTACCTGTACAATTTCAAGGCAAAATCAGTATCCATAAATTGCTTTTTATGTTGAACCCAACAGCACTTTTTAGACTGTTAATTCTAGTATTATTTTTCTGAAGAATCTGTTGGCTCTCAAATATTTTTATTAAGCTTCCTGGTAGGTAGGGTAGTAACATGTTTCATTGTTCAGTTCATTCACCACAGCCTTTTTGACAATTACAATGGAGGAGGGTAAACTTTGGATGTGTATTGGATGACTGGCAGACATTATGATTCCTAGTGGTATCTATTACAGAAAGAACTTATTAGATATATTCCTAATGTTTTTTAACTTAGTGGGCACTAGTCTAAAAGAACCTGCAAACTAAAACAGGACAGCCTGTATTCAGCTTTCCCCTTTCCTTTTAGAGTACGACCAAGCTTGTGGGAGTGACTTCCACCAATTTCTGTGAGTAGGCTAGGATTTGGTAGTGCGTCCCTGTGAGGGAATGTGTGATAATTTCCCATATGACTCAGAGAGCTTTTCTAGGAAGGACTGGATAAAAATTTACCTTGTTCTTTGACCTCTTGTCTTGACCTTTTTGACTTGAGTCATTTTTCATGAGAACACCTTGAAAAGCCTGCTCAGGAAATGAGATAAATGGTGAATGATGCTCTACTGAAGATGTATTCTCTATCACTCCTGTTCTTAGAAGTGTACACGCACGATGTGCCTTTGTCAACTTTCATTGTCTCTTGAATGGTGAAAGTTTTTTTTTGTTTTTTTTTTTTTTAACAGGGTTATTCAACTAAATCCACAAGTTCTCCAAAAAGAGCTTCTGGTAGGTAAATTTAAACTTGTAAAAACAAAGTATAACAAATGTAAATACATAATACATTAAAATTTAATACTTGCTGTCATTGTGCTAAATGGTGCTGAAAGCAGCTATCTAACATAACAGTTGAATGAAATTTTCACTGTAATAACCTAATACCACAATTTCATATTTTTGCTATAAACTAATTGTGGTGGTTATTAATGGTAAGGAATGGTTCTAAAAGCATTGCCGTAGTTAGTCTACTCATGAATTACAGGAGATTTTTGGACCACACCTATTATCTTCTGCTTAGCAAATATTTCCACTCATTGAGTGCTAATAACTAAAGGTATTAACTGGTGTCTTACCATGCTATGCCAAAATAAATTTTTAAAATTTTATTTTTTGTTAGTCTTTAAAAAAAATAAATTCACAGTTTAATCTGTCTCTGAAGAATCAACAGAAGGAAAGCAGAATTCCTGATGATATAGTCTTTGAGCCCATGAAGGATTTGGAGAACTACTTCTTTGTCCTGAAATAAACTTGAAAGAGAAATTGTGGAAATCTGAACATCTAGATTGCTAAACTAAGTTCAATTGTTGTAAAGGGTGTGGGCAGTAAAACTACACTTCCTCAAATTTTTCCCAGCTTTTCCATATAGCATCTGTAAGATTTTACAGACCTTACAAGTAGACTGTGAACTCTTAATTCATAATGGTGTTTTTAAAAAAGAGAACAGTAACAAAAACAACAAAAAATCAGCCCTTCTCTTGTGATGCAAGCCATTGTAACATTATCCCCATCTTTTGGGCTGTAGTATTATCACAGAATCATAGAATGGCTTGGGTTGGAAGAGACCTTAAAGATATCTAACTCCAACCCCCCAGCCATAGGCAGGGATGCCACCACTAGATCAGGTTGGTCAAGGCCCCATTCAGCCTGGCCTTGAACACCTCCAGGGATGGGGCATTCACAGCTTCTCTGGGCAACCTCTTCCAGTGCCTCACTCCCTCTGAGTGAAGAGTTTTCTCCGAATTTCTAATCTAAATCTCTCTAATCTCTTTTAGTTCGAGACCATTTCACCTTGTTCTATCATTATCTACCTGAGTAAAGATTTCTTCCCCATCCTTTTTATAAGCCCCTTCAGGTACTGGAAGGCCACATGGAGGTCTCACCATGGCCTTCACTTCTCCAGACTGAACATCCCCAGCTCTCTCAGCCTTTCTTCATAGGAGAGGTGCTCCACCTGCTCTCTGATCATCTTTCGTAGCTCTCTTCTGTACTCGCTCGAACAGGTTATCATTGAAGGAACTAAATGAAGTTTTTGAATAACACTGAATAACTCAACTCTTTTACAGGGAATCCTTTTCAAAAAACAGAAGCTTCAGCAAAGAAAAAGTTACTTACTTCTGTGTTGGTGCCCGAGTCTTTGTCACTCAGACCACTGGGTGAGAGAAGTCAGCATGAAACTTTGGAGAATTTAGGTAAAGCATCGTTGGAGAATTCAGAATCTGATCAGGAAAAAGAGATGATGTCTAGCTTAACCTGCAGCAAAAAAGCAGAAACAAGCGAGCAAGGAAAACTAGGAGATGTGCATGAACCTGCACAGTTGGAAACTTCTGGAAGTCTAACAGAATCTTCAAAAACTCCATTACTCAGGTATTTATGGAATAATATTTTGACCAGCCTTTTCTGTTAAAAAGACATTGTTTCCATATTGAGTTTCTGGTATACTTTTTAATAAGGGCAGTACAATTTGTGACCATCCTGGGTAAGAATTATAGTATCTATCCTCTTCAGCAAATTAAATAGGATCAAACTGTCTCCTTTGAAATTTGATGTATTTTAGTCATTAAGTGAGCAGATACACTAAGGGACACTACTGATGTATGTTGTATCTATGTAGACATTTACAGATGTCTCTTGCGAGGGAGACATCTGTTGGCTCTGATACTGATTTAGGATAATTGTCGTTTTCCTTAGCTCAGTCTATGCTTAGATATATGTACCTATCCCTTTGGTTTGATTTTTGTCCTTCTGCCAATAAAATTTATTATTGGTATAGTACTCATACACTGGATTTCTAGGCCTAACTTAAGATGCACCATTTCCCCAAAGGAATTTCAAGCCTGACAGCTGAGAAGAAATTGTTCTCATCGGTCTGTCAGTGTGTGGATTATGTTTATTTTTTTAATATACCCTTCCACACTGTTTTAAGTGTTTGAATTCCTGCTGTCTGTTGCACTTGTGCTCACTGGTCTCAGCTGTGGTGCTCCACTGGTCTGTCCTGATCGTGTTGTTTATTCTTTTGTTACATTTGTGTGTAACAAAATTGTTTATTTGTACCTTGGATATCCACAGCAGCTGGGTAATGATGCATTAAAATTAGGAATCCTTGCCTTAGAGTTTACTCCCTGATCTGTAAACTCTTTGCAACATAAGAAGTAACTTTGATACTCTGTACCTCCATCATCACTGTCATTTCTTCCCTGTTTTTCTACGTAAGTTTGATTACTAGGTGTGATGAGTCTGAAACCCAGCAGCAGGGAGTCTTCTTTCTGTGGTCTAAAATAGTCTGCTGTAGCCCCATTGTCGGGAATCAGGTTTCTTTTTTTTCAGTGAATAGACGAAGGGTGCTCTTTTTCTTTATTCATGCCTAAGTCTCTGTTTCTCTTGGAACCTCTTTCTGAAGATTCAGTAGTTTTTTACAGGCTTTAGCTTAGTGACAAATCGTAGGTTCCTGTTGTAAGGGTTGGAGGTCCTAGTTTCTGTAGTGCTTTGTAAAACTCCTCATATGAGAAATTACTCAGTAATAAAAACAGCCTGTCTTGGAATAACTTCTTGTTTCTTAGAATTTTCATATGCATCTGAGGTGTTTGTTTGCTCTGTAATGAGTTGGACCCCTGCTATACTATTTATATATTGCTTAAATGGAGCAATCTGTGACATTCTGACTGTATTTGTTTTGAATAGGGGTGGACGAAAACCATTTGGATTTTTATCTTTAATTTGTAAAAAAAGTAGTTCTGATTCTGCAGAAGATACCAAGGGGAGTAGAGGGAAGATCCAAAAACCAAAGATTGCGACCCTGAAGCGAAATCAGAAAAAAACCTCTCCATCCAGTAAGGAATCTTGTTCCCTTCCCTCTACAAGCACATCATCATCTGTGGAGTATGACGGCATAACTGCTGATGCTGTAGTTACGGTATGTTTGCTTCTGAATGTCCTTTCATTTTTGAGATGTGAAGAACAATGAATTAGTTGTTTCAGAAGTGAGTAAGTGGGCATACAGAGTTCAAGTTTGGAGAGAGATCTGCTTCACTGAATAAATAGATCCTAACGTGTGCATGTCAAGGAAACTTAAAAAGGAACTAAGTTTTTTTTTTTTTTTCTGTGCACATACATCTATGAATGTTTTGGTTTCTCTGACAGTTGTAGCCCAATATTCTATAATGTTACATTTGCAGAAGTTGCAGAAGGTTTGTACATTTCTTCAAAATTTGGGTGAAGCTCTAAGGGCTTCTGCTGATAATTGTTTATGTGTGTATGTATGATATTTTAATGTGATGAAGTTTTGACTTTGAATTATCTTGTGGACTCATAGAATCATTAAGATTGGAAAAGACCTCCAAGATCATCTGGTCCAACCATCATCCTGCTACCAATGTAAACCACTTCCCTAAGCACCACGTCCAACCTTTCCTTGAACACCCCTAGGGATGGTGACTCCACCACTGTCCTGGGCAACCTGTTCCAATGCCTGACGGCTCATTCTGAGAAGAAATGTCTCCTCATTTTCAACCTGAACCTCCCCTGGCACAACTCAAGGCCATTCCCTCTAGTCCTAACACTAGTTACCTGTGAGAAGAGGCCGACCCCCAGCTCCCCACATCTTCCTTTCAGGTAGTTGCAGAGAGCAATAAGGTCTCCCCTGAGCCTCCTCTTCTCCAGACTAAACATCCCCAGTTCCCTCAGCTGCTCCCCACAGGATTTGTCTTCCAGGTCCTTCACCATCTTTGTAGCCCTCCTCTGGACACACCCCAGGACCTCGATGTCCTTCTTGTAGTGATAGGCCCAAAACTGAACACAGGACTCAAGGTGTGGCCTCACCAGAGCAGAGTACAGGAGGACGATCACCTCCCTGATGCTTCTGGCTACACTGTCCCTGGTACAAGCCGGGATGCTGTTGACCTTTTAGGCCACCTGGGAACACTGCTGGCTCATGTTCAGGTGAGCATCAGTCAGCACCCCCAGATCCTTTTCCTCTGCACAGCTTTCCATCCACTCCATCTAAGGCTGTAGCATAGCACGGGATTGTGACCGAAGTGCAGGATCCGGCACTTAGCCACGTTGAACCTCATCCCCCTGGCCTCTGCCCATCGACCCATCCTCTCCAGGTCCCTCTATAGGGCCTTCCTACCCTCTGGCAGATCCACACTTCCCCCCAGCTTGGTGTTGTCTGCAAACAATTCCCTCATCCAGATCATCAATAAAAATATTAGAGGACAGGCCTCAACACTGCCCCCTGGGGAACAAATTGCAGCAATAGTTCTCTGTTTTAACTGAAACCCATAGCAAATATGTGAAGTCAAACAAAGGGAATGACTGTTGTCCAGTACGTGGTCTATCTCAAAATATTAATCAGCTTTTCCTGCAGAAATATTCCTGGTGTTAATTAGCAGAAGATGAGAAGAGAGTCTACTTGTTTTCCTTTTTCTAGTAATTCCTGTTTTTTATTGAAACTTCCTGTCTGAATAGGAAGCACAAGCATATATATCTACATATGCTTATACACATGTACATATATATGTGTGTATGTATATATGTGTTTGTGTACATACAAGTATGTAAACAGATTAAGACTGTTAACAGTACCCTTTTCTTTTTCTATTAGGTTCCAAGTAATGAGCCACCTCAGAAGCCCCCCCTTTCTGCTAAAGATCCAAAGAAGGAAGAAGAGCCCACCAGAATCTCTGAGTATTTTTTCAGTGACATCTTTATGGAAGTAGATGACTCAGAATAGCAAATTGGCTTTATAAAAATTGTGGGACCTAAGTACAACAGCAATAAATTATTTTTAAAAGTCTGTGCTTGTTCTAATGCTTGCTGTGCCAATCTTACCATCAGCCAAGCTATTGTTAATAAACTTCCCTAAAGATGGAATCAATTTCTTCCAAAGTGACCTGGATACTTTTAAAATGTTGATGCAACCTACACCACTACATTGATGCCATTGGATGGACCAGTGGCTTAATTTTCCCTTGTTTAGATGTTGATAAATGGGTGCATGGCTGTCTTCCAGAAAAGTGTGATGCAAAAAATGCTTATTCTTGTGACAAGGATCCCTTTGGATTATAATGCTAAAGCTTGTGGTACTGGTTATACAAGTTCTTTACTTCTTTTTGTGAAGTATGCTATATTAGTATATTAGAAGGAGGAATGAACCTTTTATATATAGTGTAATCTCTGTAGATCAGGATGCAAATACTGAAAGTAGCATAGGAAGTACATGGATATGCTCATCACTGCAGCTATTTTTATTAGCATCTCCAAACTACGTATTTTTATATTTAAGAAGTCTTGCATAAATTAAAAGACCTTAGCCTGAAAAGCCAAATGGTTTTGTCTCCGTTAAAATTTATATAGGAAAACACTGAAAAATATGCTTCATTTACCGAGTGATGCTATACAATGTTAATTTTTGCAACTGTCCTACTAGAGTGAGAAAAGGTTAGTATTTCCCAATACACATACTAATTTCCTTCCAAATTTGAAAACAAGGGGTTGGATACCGTTTCTTTTCCTTGTTTTTACATATAGGTGTATATATCTGTACCACTGTCCTTTGTTTCACCTGTGTAAATTAGCACAAACAGAACTAAATTTAAACCATGACTGTACATGTACAGTGAGGTTGCTTTAAGGATTTGCTGCTTGGAAGCAGTTGAATTTGAATGGCTTTCCCCATGTTCCTGGATTACTTGTACTCACTGGCATAGCTTGAGATTTTAGTGTAATTGTTTACTTGCTTAGGAGGAAGATTGTCTTGATGAAATAAGAAAGTTCTTTTGAGTCTCATAAAGCCAGGTGGTCAATGAAAGGTGAAATATTCATTCTCAAACTTCATTACACAATGAGTATGTAGATCTAGATAGTCTAGCTTTGTCCTGATACTTAATAACAGCAAGTACTTCTGCAAAAGAAATGATCATAAAAGAGAAACTTTGAAACTGTATTAGCCTGTTTTCAGTTTTGGACTGGTTTAATCATAGGCTGGCAAGTATTTTCACATAAGTATCTACTTAATTTTGAAATACTTCTTGAAGTTTGAAAATGTTTGCCTTTCAGAACTTACTGGCAAGGCTTATGAAAGAGCCTTTAAAACTTTGTCAGTAAGGGACAATGCACAAAAAAAATTACTGCTACTGCAAATTGCTATACTAGGAGTTTTCTGTCAACCAGATGGCACTAGGAACAACATCTAGTTGACATGATAAGGAGGCTGATGTTCCCAGTAGAAAGTAACTTACTGGAAAGCATACTGTCAAAAGAAAAAGAAAAAACAAATAGACAAATCTACCACCACCACCAGAGCTTCTCCTCAGACAGTATCCTGCTCTGCCTAATCCATTTAACTTGAGTAGTTTATCTAAGTATTGTCTTACTGTAAATATTATGAAATAGGGTAATGTATACATTAAGCTCAAAGTATTGTATGTCTTGTAGATATTTCATTTAAGCAATTTCTTATTTCCTAATAAATGTGGCATGTTTCAATCACTTGCACTGGCATAGCCTAAACACAGATTTGTGCAGAGTTGGCTATGAAATAATTGCCCTAATTACTTCCTAAGGTGATATCCATTCTATATTTTGTTGCATATATTTTAGCTTGCATTCATATTATAAGATAAAAATAATAATTTCATCACCAATATTTAAGGTGCCTTATCTACCTTGTTAATTGGGGTACATTTTTTTTTCCCTGCAGTAAACCACATGCACTTTGTTAGAGGATTTTTTTTAAAGAACAAGTGTAATATGAATTGTGATGAGACAACTTTGTGTTCTGTTTTATGCAAGTTTTGTAATGGTGGGGGATGTAAGAAAGGAATTGTGAAATCTCGATGCCGATTAGTTGTAGCGTTTTTACAGAAATGTGGCACAAGAAATGTGGCTTTGCTTGAAGATGTGTCTGACACAGGTATTATTGCGTATAAGCTTTCTGTTTCAAAGAAAGTTGTCATATTGTATATGTAAATTATGTTAATAAATTATTTTATATTACCTGTGTCTGTTGGAATATTTATTGCCATTTCTAAAGGCTTGTATGTATTTCAGAGTGTGGGTTCAACTTCTGCCTCGCACTGTGAGGCACGTTTGCATGGGGAAAGCAGATTGAAGACACTTCGTCTCATGTTGTCGTTGTCTTTCTGTCTGGGGTGCTGCTTTATTTCACTTTTCTTTACGCAAAATGACTTCGGCCTCCGCTGGGCTCTCTCCTCTCACCCCCCTCAGCTCTGCCGGCGGCAGCAGCCCCTCCTCGCCCTCCCTTCCTCTCTCTCTCCCGCACACCAAAGGACGGAGCCAGCCTCAGCTCCCAGCCGTGCCCGCCGCCTGCCCGCTGAGGGGCCCGGCCGAGCGGGGCGGGCGGCTGTGGGGCCGCGCTCTGCGCATTGGCTGCGGCGGGGGGAGTGGCGGCGGCGGCAGGCCCGGGACGGCCCGGCCCGGCACGGCTGGGGCTGGGCTGTGCTCCGCTCCGCTCCGCTCCGCCGCCATGCTGCTGGGCCCGCGGCGCCTGCTGCGCCCATGGCGGCTGCTGCGCCGCGCCGCCGCCCGCCCCTACCGCGGCGAGGCGGTGGCGGCCGTGGGCTCGCGGCCCGACGCGGGCTCCGCGCTCTACCAGGTAGGCCGGGCCCGGCACCGCTCGGCGGCCCCGGGGCCGGGGAAGCGCCCTGCGGGAGGAGGAGGGCAGCGAGGGTCCCTCAGCCACGGGGCTCGGTGCCCGCAGGCGGGTGCTGCTGCTGCTGCCGCCGCCCCTTGGGGTTTTGTTTTGGTGGAAGTGCCAAATCCCGTTTTATCTCGCTGAGGCTGAGTTTAAAATAATAATAAAAAAAAAAGGCATGGGTCCGTGCCGCCTGCCGCCTCGCGGTGGGTTTGGTCTCGACTTTTCTCCTTACTCCGAGAGCCTGTTTGTTATTGCAGCGGTGAGGAAGGAGCTGATCGATACCGGGCTGGTGAGGCGGACACAGGGAGCTTGCAGGCAGCTGGAGGAGGTCTCTGGTGGTTTCAGGGCTGGAAACTTTCTTCTGTTTGCCAACCAGCTCCTGAGCTGGAGGCAGGGGGAATATTGCAAAGTCAAGTGTGTGCCTCCAGAAAGCTGGATGCCAGTGGAAAGCACCATCCCTGGAGGAGGAGGAGAAACAGGTGGAATGACAGCCTCCTTTATGGAGATAACAGCACCCGTGTCTGGCGGAAATTGTTTTGTTTTAGTGGGGCGTTATTGGCATCTTCACATGGAGGATAAAAGTTGTGTTTACAGTTAGGCTGAAAATCACGTAGTTTTAGGTGTGGATCAAAACTGATAGGAAGACACACAGCTGTTTTAAAATTTGATCCAGGCAAAATAACTAACAGCAAGTGAAGCAACAGCGCGTGCTCTCACAGAAATACTTCCTCTCGTTCTGTGTTTGGTTTTGCAGAAACTAAATTTTGGGACAGAACTTGGTAGGTGACAGAAACTTCCGTGAAGCTTTGGTGTGTATATGTACAAAGCTTGTACATGTGAAGTGAGTGTGTGTATGTTTGTGCACGTGTGTGTATATTCACACCTACAAAAAAAAAGTAATAATGTGTTTACTCAGCTAAGCTGTTAATGGATTTTCATTTTCGTGTGTACCTCCAGAGCTCAAAAAAATGCAAGGCCAGGTAATTTTTTCTAGGATACATTTTTACTTTTTTTTTTTTTTTCATTAGTGTTCACAAGTTTTGGCAGCAGTTTCCAATGGGACATTTTGACAGGAAAAGTTTGCGTGGCTATGCTAGACAAGCCCACTTACTTGGACACATCTGGTACGTCATTCAAGCAGTACGGTTCCTAATAGTGTTAGTATTTGGTAGAAATAATTACAATTTGTAGACTAGTGTAAATGTACGTGGTGCTTTACAAACACAAAGAGCTGGGGTCCGTGCTGTGAGGTACTTAACCATCTGAAACAAATGTAATACACGGAGTAGCAGTGCAAACACAAGAAGGCATAACAATACGTGATGAAGGTCTTGCCTCCTGCAGCTAATGTTTGCTTTTCTGGCTGTGAATTCAGCTAGACAGGCTGGCCTTCATAATGTAAACTGTCAAACCAGACAGGTAAAAATGTAATTTAAAAATGAGTTAGTCTAAGTTCTAGAAAATAGAGGAGAGTCTATGTAAAGATTCTAAAGATTAGCTCTGACTGCTCCTTACCTTGTGTAGCAGTAATTCAGCTCATACAATAACTGTAGGATTAGTCTGTAACTTTGGCTTCTAGATTTTGCTTTAAAGTTCCCGGGAGCCCTTACATTAAGAGCAGACTGACTGGTGCAGGGGCTGGTTTCCAGAAAGAACTTGTTGCCTTTTTGACATAAGTTAATAAAGAGCTTATTAGAAGGAATAATAGATTTGTTTCTGAAGGGAGCTGTTTCTTAAAAAACCCATAGAAAGATTTGAAAACATCTTTACTTTGCCTTTGTAACATACAATGATGTTGTGGTGTGGTTAAGGACATGAAGGATAAGGTTAGAAATCAACTGAATTTAACTTAAATACTGGAATGCAATGGTTTCTATAGATGGTGTAAAAAATCTTTTCACAGTTTTTCATGTAGGAGAATAGCTAAAGCAGCTGCCAGGAGCTGTTAATTCAGAATCGGATAAGGGAGCCTGCAACTGGGGTTGCTACAACCTTTCTAATTCCCTCAGCTATTTTTAGCTGCATTTTTTCCTATGTTAAAGGTGATCTTTAAATCTCAGTACTGTCAAAAAAGGTGAGTGTGTTTAGAGGAAACAGGCTGACTGAAGAAGGAGAAACAGGGAAAATTTTGTGTGCAGTGCTGGGAAGTGAGTTGGCTAGACAAACTGAACACTCACGCATACAGTAACACTGGATCTTGTAACAACTGCAGATTTAGAAGAACAGAGTTACAATGTCTGTTTTACGGACTTTTACAGGGGAGTTGTAGGAGTTGTAAGCGCTCTTCTGAAGGTCTGAAATCAGGTTCTGCTTTCCTCATTGGTGAGTGGTTGTGTGTGTGGCTGCAGTTGCTGTCCGTAGTGTCTCTGGGGAGTGCCGGAGTCCTGTTAACGAGACGCAGCTTGCTTTGTACTTGTTTCTCTGGGATGCTGTGAACAATGGTAAAACTGTCAGTAAGTCATTCCCCTGTGATTTCACAGCTTAGGAAGGGGGGGAAAAAAACAAAACAAAAACAAACAAAAAACAGTTGAAGAGGTAGGTGCTAGGTCTGTGTGGAGGGTGGGCCAGGAAGAAAGACTGAAGCACCAAAGGAGGAGCAGCATGCTGGAGCAGATAATGCAGCCTTACATCTGAGGGAGGGGACACAAAGTTTGGTGACTTCCCCATCCCTGTCTCCTGGGGCTTCAGGGCAGCTCCGAAGGCAGGTAGGTAGCGTTCTGCAGTCATCTTCCTGGGAAGCACCGGGTGCAGGCTGAGCCCTGCTGCCCGCAGCACTCAGTGGGGATGTGCAGTCCTTCCCCAGGCACAGGGGCTGACCTGCTGCCGACCCTGTGTACCAGGGGGGGAAGTGGCCAAGACCTGCTTTCTTCTGACACATTTTTACCTTTCAGTAGGATATTTTCTATCTCTTCATAGCAGTTGTAAAGGAGGAGAAATGTTTTCTTTTTAAAGTCCTTCTGTACACCTAAAGTGGTTTGAATCCAAAGGGCCTATACCTGTTTTCATTCTCTTTGCCCTTCACCACATGGTGTCTTTCTGTGATTAAGACAGAGCTAAACAAAGCTATTTAAACCACAACACTTGCTGCTTCCAGGGGAAACCCCAGTTCTGAGTGTTCAAGTCTGAATATGAAGTTTCCAGATTGATTTTTTCTGTAGACTTTAATATCTTCTACATGGCAATTAGACAAGACAGTATGATTTCTTTGTGCAACAATTAATGTATCTCTTTGCTTTGTTGTGGTTATACTTTTCAAAGCAGTTACGTAGTTTTTAGTGTGTCTGAAAAGCCAAGTTAAGGTTGACTAACATGTTCTAATTCTGAAGAAATGATAAAAACAGCTGTAATGATCACACAGAGTATTGGATATTTCTGCAGTGGTGAGCTCAGTACTGGTTTGCTCATATAAAAAGCTGCAAAAGTCTGTTTTTATAAGATGAATATTGCCTCGAAGACC